AACTTACCTGAGGCCATAAGTTGACCTTTTTAGTCTGCACACAAATATACTTGAATCATCTATTGCAAAGCCTTCCGGTTGCACCATATAGATATCCTCATCAAGGTCTCCATCAGAAGATCAGTTTTGACATCTATTTGGTATAACTCCATATCAAAATGAGCTACTAATGTCATGATCACTCTAAAAGAATCTTTAAGATTGGGGAAAATGTTGTTTCATAGTCTACTCATTCTCTCAGAGTAAAACCCTTAACTACCAATCTGACTTTATACTTTCAATATTTCCTTAAAGTCCATTTTAGTCTTATACACCCATTTGCATCTGATGGGCTTATAACAATCAAACTCCCAAACATTGTTATGTTTCATGGATGCATCTCATCTTTTATCTCATCCAGCTACAAATCTGACTGAGGACAAGAAACAACATCTACAAAAGTCAATGGATCAACTACACAGCCGATGTCGTTGTCATGCTCTCCCTGATGGTATAGTTGATCTTCTCTCCCCGATGGATCTCCTGAGTAGACCTATTTCAACCTCATCGTACATCTGAGGAGCTTTAAGAACTTCATCAAGAATAACCTCAATAACAGGATCATGGACATCAATAACATCAATATGTTGTGTAGGAAGCTCCACAATCGTCTGTATAGGTGAATAAAAAGACACAATGATTCCCACCGTACTTTTATCCTTAGTAGTTTTTAAGCAGTTACCCTCTTTGGCCACATCAAACTCCAGAAACTTTGCTATTTGTGATTCCACAATTCTTGTGCCTCCATTAGGATTATAAAATCGATACCCTTTCAAATGATTTGGGTAAGATACGAAGTAACATCAAGTAGTTCTAGAGCCCAACTTACTTAATGTTTGATTATATAACCTTACTTCTGCAGGTCACTCCCAAACCTTAAGATTGTTCAAACTTTGCGTCCATAACTCAAAAGGAGTCAATTAAACAGCTTTGGTAGGAACACAATTTAATATGTAATGGGCTATTTCCAAAGCTTCACCTCATAGAAAATCAGGTAAATTGATTTTACTAATCATACTCATCATTATATCTATAAAAGTGCGATTGTGCTTTCGGGCAGACCATTTTATTCGAGATTCATACGTATAGTAAACTGAGCTTCTATCCTAAAATTCTCCAAGTATTTGGCATCAAGCCTTTTAAACTATCCAACATCGTCATGCCTGCCATAATACTCACCACTCCGGTAAGATCTAACAACATTTATGACTTTTCCTAACTGTTTCTCCACTTTAGTCCAAAAAATCTTAAACTTATCGAGAAACTCAAATTTTTCATTAATCAAATCGGGAATAGTCGTCAATAAATGTGATGAAATAAAAATTTCTACACAAAGTTTCCGTATATAGTCCACTAATATCGATGTGGATGACTTCCAATAGGTCACAACTACGGACTACAGTTTTTTCTTTACCTTAGTTATCTTATCCCTACAATAGTCTACGCAAGTCTCTAAGTCACTTTTAAGCAGGCAGGATGTTAGTCTTTATCAGCATTTCCACTCTTTCCCTAAAGATGTGACCAAGCCGTTTATACCATAACGAATAAAACTATTCCTTAGGTAGAGGTCTTTTGGAAATAACTTTTTCAGCCATATAGGCAACGTATAAATCATTGGGAGTTAAACACAATATGTACAATTCATTGGACATTTTGCAACACCCACCTTTATTTGAATTAAAAAACATAGAAACAATATTGTTCTTAAATTCAAAATAGTAATTGCACATGTCCAGACATGATACAGAATCTAAGTTCCTTCTAAAGGAAGCTACATAAAATGTGTTTCTTAATATCAAATTAAAACCAGAATCTAGAATTAAAATGACATCTCCCACAAACTCGATGTTGACTTTATTGTTGTTTTCTACGATGAGCTTTGATTTATCATGATTTAAGTTCCTCTGATTTTTGAACCCACGTATGGCTATCTAGCCCCTATGAACTAGATGGGGCTTCCGATAGGTTGGATTCATAAATAAATGCCAAAGAATCATTACCTACAGGCTCACGCTTAGACAATCAAGTTTTATATTTATTGCGGTCTTTCTTTATGTGACATTTCTTCTTATAAAAGAAGTGATGTCACCATCATTCTTAAAGGATGCTTCTTAGGACCCAAACTGTCAGAATGGTCGGTGGTTTCATGAGTTTTTTTATGAGTATAATTTTTGGACCTCTTGCTTTTATTATCCTTAACCCAACTAGAACCATCATACCTCAAATTGAAGAGTTTTTGCATATGTGTCACAATCTCAACATTAGACGAGACGCGATTCCTAGCCTTCAAGGCTTCCATCATTTATTTAGCAGTGCAATCAGTTGGCAACCACTCTTCTAGTGTTCCTAAATTGATCGCTTTATAGATAACAAACAAATTCGATTGCTCTTTCTTTGTTGTGTTCTGTATTGGTGGTAATGAGATTTATCGGCTTATTTTCACTAAGAGCAATATAAACATCCGCCAGCTCCATCCTCAACTGAAAAGCCTCCTTTCATTTCTTAAAGTTTGAACCATCAAGTATCATGTGAATGTGTAACTTGAAACCATATAAGTACACATCCTGAGAGTTACATACATCATCACATAATCACCTTTAGGCAGAATACATGACATGCAGTTTTATACTCTCCACATAACTGTGGCCATGTGAAAATATTTCAATTTTCGTGAATTCACCACCTTTGAATGTTTGAACCCCTAGGATCAGTCACTCTTCAGTCATATATTGTACATGTGTCACTCCATGAACCAATACACAATCACCTCTTTTGAGAGTATGACCATGCATTATTATAGAAGACATCCCACCACAATGTAATATCGATATTACTTAAACACAATCAAGTGTACCACTTTGGCGGTCATAATCCAATTGAATCCTAGATACTCTCTCATACTAGGAATATAAATTTTATGTCTCGCATTTACCATTGGACCAATTTGTCACTAAAATCACATAGTATACTGATTACATTGTTCCATTAATTGATACACGTTAAATCTTATACATGCAATCAATGAATCACGCTATACACATTATGTATGTGATGATATACATGTGAGCTATCATCTGTATTTCCGAAACCATCGAGATATACAGGAAAAAATAAAAGAAAAATATCCTAAAAATACACATATATAGGGTTTTGTACACATTTTCACATCCTTAAAGCATCAAACATGTAAAACAAATATACAACATTGTAAAGCATCTCAATATGAGAACGCCAGCACCCAGCATGCTTAAATGAAGCTCTCACGCGTCGCTAGAGTGCACGACGCATGGAGTGCACGCTTGAAGTGTGTAATTCAGCCTGAATCGCCGGTTTGACTGGTTTGACCGATCAGGTCGATTTGACCGGTTTGATCGATTCGGTCGATTTGACCACTCTAGTCAATGGTCAACTAGGTCGAGTCAACGAGTCGGATCTCCGGGTCAGGTCGGGTCGGGTCACCCATCGTTGACTGGGTCAAACCACATCAGCGGGTTGTTAATGTCAGCCAATGCAAGCGCTGGCAACGTTGCACATGGCCGCCATGTGCCGACACTGCAAAGGCACATGGCCTCATGTGTAGGCACGTGTGGCATCCTTTGGAGACATGCCACCTATCAAAATTCTCATCTCAACGAGATCTTTTCGTTTATGTGATCAAAATTAATTTTCAACAAACAAAAATTCTGAAAATGGGCCAAATCAGAAAGTGCCAAATCGAGACTATAGCAGCTCTGATACCACATGTAAGCTGCAAAAACGGCACCCCAAAATCTCATATTCAAAACCTAGAATACGGTCATGGAGAAAAAGTGATTTGCACACCTGATTTAGAATCCATTGTTCTTGAGGCGGAAATAACGACGATCAACAACTCAAATGCTTCTTCTCTTTTGCTCTCTGTATCACTAGCTCAATGAAACTGCTTCTCATGAATAGCGAACTACTCCTTATGCGAGGTTATTTGTGCATCAAAGTTAAAGAAGTGACTCGAGCACTATAGCCGCAGACCCTCTCATCATAGGCCGCGCTTTATTCGGTTCACACAAACCAGCCCCATATTAGTTTAATTAATAATCTTTATATCTTACCTTATTAGATCAATTCCGTAAAAAATTAAATTACAATCTCAATTAATGTAACCCACATAAAAAAACTCTTACAAAAACATGTCTTGGTTTTGAGCGACCCGACCCGTTATCTGCTACACAAGTGAAGCAATAAATGCCGATCGGTTCAATTTTATACAACTTTACCACTCACAAAAAAGTATCAAAAACACTATTCCCTCTTTTCAATTTTGTACTAATTACAAGTTTTTAAATAAAAGAGATTTTTCAGCCAATATTATTTTCCCTTGATCTAAAATAAAAAATTTTGATAACCACTTTTCTGAATTTGAATAAACAAATATTTTCTACTTCCAAAATAATTAATTATGTCGATTTTCGCTTCCGAGTTAACTGATTTTTTCCATAGTAATTCAATTAGTGTTTTTGAAAAATAATTTTTGTGCTTTCAAAGCTAAAAAAAATGAATGTCCTGAGCGCTTTTGTTTCGCGAAAAATGAAAGATTTGAAGAATATTTTTCTAAAGACGATTGTTTATATCTCTTATAAAAATGAACTAACGAAAAATATTTTTATCATCAACGAAAATAATTAAATATAAATCGTTGTTAAATAATGAAAGTTTTTTTCTATTAATTAATCATTTCGAAGCGATAAAATTGATCATTTTTGAGATAATATTTTTGGAAAGCACTCATTTTTCGTGAAATAAACGGATCTAAATTGTTTAAAAAACAAAAGAAGGGAAAAAATCGTTAGCTAAAAATGGAAGGCCCAAACCCTTATTGAAAACGTGAATTAGCGCGCCAAGCCCATTTCCCAACCTGTTCCCCCGGAAACGGTGCGTATAACGCGCTTCGTCTTCTCATGTCCTTAAACCCTGCCGCTGCCAAGCCTCATCATCTATCTCAGTCCTCAGCTCCTTATCCTTAAACCCTAAAAAAATCCGTCATTTCCGTCCCCCTCCCTTCAAGCTTCCACCTTTATCCTAGTCCGTCGCCATCTGCATGACGCCGGCGAGGCTCCTCACCCACCTCCGCCTCCTCCAGCCTTCACTTCCTCTTCCTCTCCACTCGTCCATGAAGCTCTCCCGGTCCCTCCACTGCGGCCCCGCCCCGTGCCGAATCTTCCCTTTCAGGCTCAGGCACGCCGCCCTGCTGGGCTTCCGCGCCAACGGCCAGCTGGCCGTGCGGGGGCTCTCGTCCCGGTCTTCGTCCGGCTCGCGGGTGTCTCCGAAGAAGAGTTTGATCGACGACGAGGCCGAGCTCAGCGACTGGGTCAGCGGGCTGGGGAAGGACGACTTGGTCGGGGAGGCGGGTTCGGGTAGAGTCCGGGGAAGGAGCTATGCGGATGAGGCTTCGTTCGGGGTGAAGCGGCAGAGGTATGGCGACTCGGACGATGTTGTCGGCGGTACGGGACGGAGGAAGGGCCGGAGGGATGCGGAGGGGCTTGATTCGAGGGATTCTAGGAGGAGATATGGGAATGAGTTGGGAGGCGGTGAGGAGTTCTCATCCCCGCGGAGGAGGTTTGACGATAGGTCTAATGGTAGAAGCGCGAGATCTTCCACCTGGAAGAGGGGTGACGTAGGTTCCGATTCACAGAGGAGGTTTGATGATAGGTCTAAGAGTAGAAGCGCTACATCTTCGACCTGGAAGAGGGGCGACGGAGATTCCGATTCACAGAGGAGGTTTGATGATAGGTCTAAGAGTAGAAGCGCTACATCTTCGACCTGGAAGAGGGGCGACGGAGATTCTGATTCACGACTTGCGCGGAATAGTAGAGGAAATGCAAATGCTATTCGAAGAAATGCAGGTCCGTTGGATAAGTATGAGGATGAGGAGGAGGAGGAGGAGGAGGAGGAGGAGGAGGAGAGGAAGAGGTTCGCTGGGAAGATTGACGATTTGATCAGTGAGGAGGATAGCGAAGTCGATGGCACGGATGACGACGATGAGGAGTTTGTGAAGAAGAGCGCGAATGGGTTGTTTGGCGAGGAAAAACAAGCTGTTGTAGAGAATTCAAAGAGAATCTCGCAGCAGGGTTCCGATTCTTACTTGAGTGAAACTAGGTACACCATCTTCATAGCCTTATCCTTCTGTATTAACTTAGCTGCTAGAGTTGATAGAACGAGTAGTTTCTAGTGCCAATTAATCATCCATCATGGCCAGGGAAGAGAACTTTAGACACCTACCAAGAACTACTAAATGTTTCCTTAACTCTCACTTTTGCTGGGACATTTTCTTCTGTAATGAGCTCTGCTTGTCAAGTGACAAGGGGGAAATATATAGAATGTGACTTTTTCTGTATTTGGTGATGAGTAAGACGTTCCCTACCTTTCCTTCCCCATTTTTCCTTAGGAACTATTCAGCTTCATTGAAATCAGTTCTACAGCATAAATCCAAGTTCTTTCCAATTCCATTGTGTTAAAACTGAATCCACTTGTATGCGTGCTTCAACTATGCCTTGGCATAGGTCTTCGGTAGTCCAATGTTTGTCTTGTATAGCTCCTTGTGAAGCGAAATTGTGAAAAATGTCTGTGATAAGATACCGTGAGTTCATTATTGGTGAGAAGAGCATAACCATCTCGTGCTCCTTTTACTCATAAAGTATGAATATGCCTGGATGGGACTCTAGAAAAAGTCTGATACTTGCGGTTCAGCTCTATATCAATGTAGCACATAAGAACTTGGTAAATGTCTCACTTAAGTTCACATGTCTGCAGATTTGACCAATGTTCAATCTCTCCCTTGTCCTTGAAAGCAATTAAGGATGCTGGCTATGAGAAGATGACTGTGGTCCAAGAGGCCACGCTTCCTGCTATACTCAAAGGTATGGTCCCTAACCTAACAATCCTTTAGGCTAAGGCACATGAAGATTTTGTTGCTTGGATACCTCAAATTTCTTGCTGAAATCTAGTCGAATTGATAACAATAGTCTTGTGGGAAGTTCAGTTGATTTTGAAGGTGGTGGAACTTTCTCTTAGGGTTGTGGCACTATCTAAAAGAGATTGTGGAGGTTTGAGTTGACTATTTTTTTCAAGAAATGCTACTAATAATGCACTGGTATACAAGCCAAGCACTCGGTCTGAGTTAGGAAGGCCAATGGGCCGTGCCAGGCTCATGCCTGGACCTAGTTTTTTTTCTTTAATTTAGACAATTTTAAAAAATTAAAAAATCCAGAAAAATTCACGAGAATTCTACTAATAGATTAAAAATGAAAAATATATTAATATATTGCAAATTTAATTAAAATAACATCACATTAATTTAACTAGATGAAATACGAATACATCGGAGAAATATAACTCGAGAAATGTACAATTAGGTTCGTGCTTCAGAAAAAAAGGACAACCAAATGCCGCTGTGCACCTTGTCATCCATTGCTATACCGATGTGAATAAGCCCATCACCATGACTCCGATGATATATTGTCATCATCCGGTCGCGGCGCGTGTTGATCTATTTCATCTGGCTTCATTTCTTCCTGGAGCCAAGATGTGCGGACGACAGTCATTTCTAGATTCTTGTCACTTAGCCTTTGCCTATTGTTCTTAATGATCCATCCGCTAGTGCTGAAAGTCGAATCTGACGGTACAGTTTATGACGGTGGGTTGAGCATGTCACAAGCCACCATCGAAAGATTAGGAGAATGCAAAAGTTCGGCCATTCCTAGCCCATGAGCTGGCCGGCCTAGTTTCACCCAGGCAAGTGGCCCAGGAGCAAACGGGCCATGGATGGCATGACCCTTTTTTCCTGACAGGCCCTTCATGGCCTCAATTAAGCATGGTACAGCTTATTGGCTATTCTTAGTCTAAGTAGTAAAATCACGTGTCTCAAGAAGAGGCTGTGACTTTCTCTTTTTATCTTACAGAAATAGGATTTGCTTTTTCATAAATATTTACTTTGAGAATTTGTATCTGGTTTTGTGTTCTTATGCTTGGTTGAACATGGGTAATTTGACTTGAGTTCGTAGGTTGATATATCCTTGTCTCCCCCTCACCCCTTTTTCCTTTTTTTTTTCAATGCCTGAAGCTTTAATTTTCTGTTGTCTATTTTTCCCCCAGGTAAGGATGTTCTGGCCAAGGCTAAGACAGGCACTGGAAAAACTGTTGCATTTCTTGTAAGATACTTCAATTTTAACATTTTACCTCCTAACCGAGGGCACGTTGTTCAAAGGATCATGCTTCAGTTTCTACAGAGAGACGTGCATTTACATTTGCTTTCTGTTAATGAGAAGAGAGTACTTGCTACTTGCTAGTCTGAGGGAGTTTGTTTGTCAGAATTCCCTGTTTGAGTATGTGAGAAAAAAATAGTCAGTCAGATTTTTCAATTTTGAGTTCTTTCTCATACTTAGCACAAACAAGTGATAAAGTTTTTCCTTTACTCTAAATGTATGATGTCACTTGTTTTAGAAGATTGTATGTCTAATGGCTTTCTTGTCCATCTTAGTATTTTGGGTAACTTGAATTCAGAAAGATATAGTTTGAGAGTAGCAAAAACATGAGTCTGTAAGTTCTGATTTATGAATTGGTATTACTTCGCTTTGGAATATGCAACAGTTTCTCTAATAATAAAACTTATTTTCAGCTTCCATCAATTGAAGTTGTCATAAAATCACCGGCCCCTGCGCGTGATCAAAAGAGACCACCGATTGTTGTTCTGGTTATATGTCCGACTAGGGAGCTTGCAGTCCAAGCAGCTGCAGAAGCCAATGCCCTTTTGAAGTATCATCCTTCTTTTGGTGTTCAAGTTGTTATAGGAGGGACACGACTTGCTCTAGAACAGAAGCGCATGCAAGCAAATCCTTGTCAGGTTAGTCTCTATGAGGAAATATGAAATTGTTTCACTGTCCTTAGTGCAATATGATATCATGTTCTGTAGTTAGAAAACTTAAACAGTCTGGAGGTAATTTCCATGTAAGAGGCTGAGAACTGCTGGTGAAACTTTCGGAGGACTTTTCCTAAAGAAGAAAATTTGGGAAATCATTTTAGAAGTTGTTTGATGCAATGGAGGCTCGGGATAAACCAGTGTCGATCTCACTAGATAAACACCACATAATTTTGCAAATGCATTGTGCAAGAACAGAGAAAAAGTCAATTTTGACATAATTGTTCAATAGGCAAAGCTTGTCTTACAAAGAAACATGATGAACGCGTAATCTGCCAATCCTAGCAAATCCTAGAGAAGCTATAATATTTAAATTGGGAAATAACATAATTGCCAAAAAGTTCTAGACATGTCATCGAAAATTAGCTAACATATTATCTAAAGCTCTAGAGATAAGAAAAATAAGTCAAATTTCGATCTCGGAGGTTATGCGGTCTCGTGTCCCCTAGAAAAGCTCAACTTCGGCAAACTGTATAAACTGCTTCATCATCCCCTGTGAATGTTGTAAGTCTACTTAATCTGCGTCAGACTTAACACTGTATAGTCGGAAGTTAACAATTTTGGCATCAGTTAGAAGAGAACTTCTTTCGATGAGGAATATTTTCACTACTTTTGTGGGAATGGATCCGAAAGGCTTTTGGGTTCATTTTCATCTACTTCCGGGGTTCTTGAAAGACTCTGCAGGGACTTTAATCATATGATGTAGCTACTGGTCTAGATTAATGAACCAACATGCTTGTTTTGTTGTTTCTGTATACACTCTCTCGAGAAGATTTCAATCATAGAATACAGCAAGAAGTTGCTCTCCTCCATCCTTGTAAGTTGACTTGATATTATTCCTGAAAATGTCAAATTACCTCTGCGGCATGCCTTTAATCTAGTGCTGTATAGTTGCCATTGATGACTTAATTTATCTAGTTATTCAAAGGTTTTCCCCCATACCATGCAGATACTCGTGGCTACACCTGGAAGGCTCAAAGATCATATTGAAAATACTGCAGGATTTGCAACCAGGCTGATGGGCGTGAAAGTTCTTGTACTCGATGAGGCTGATCGTCTGTTAGACATGGGATTTCGCAAAGATATTGAGAAAATAATTGATGCTGTCCCGAAGCAGCGGCAGACCCTTCTATTTTCTGCGACTGTTCCAACAGAGGTTTTCTTCTTTATCCCAAGCTTCTGTGGTTTCCCTCATAAATATTATCGAAATACTAAAAGGTACCCTTCTGCTTCTAAGGTTCGACAAATCTGCCACATTGCTTTGAAACGAGATCATGAATTCATTAACACCGTTCAAGAGGGAAGCGAGGAGACACACGCGCAGGTAGTTTCTCTCAAATATCTTATATAATTATCGTCATTTCTCAATTTTTTTCTAATTAGCTTGGTTGCTGAGAATTCTTGATTGGCTGGAAATCTCAGGTCAGACAGATGAATCTAGTCGCTCCTCTAGACAAGCACTTTTCCTTGCTCTATGCTCTTCTAAAAGAGCATGTTGCAGATGATATCAATTATAAGGTACAGACGTACTACAGTATTTCCACTTCAAAACTAAAATTTATTTATTGTAGTACCGATTTAAGGTTGTTTTTGGAAGTACAAAGATAATTTGCTCCATTGAGAATGATCTTTTTTTTTTTTTTCAATGAACTCGTTTCAGTTTTTCATTAATGGGTGATAACTGCAATTGGTTCTTCAGGTTATTGTGTTCTGCACAACCGCTATGGTGACCAAACTTGTTGCTGATGTCCTTGGTGAGCTGAAATTGAATGTCAGAGAGATTCATTCAAGAAAGTCGCAGTCTTATAGAACAAGGGTTTCTGATGAGTTTCGGAAGTCGAAGGGTCTTATTCTTGTAACTTCAGATGTGTCTGCACGTGGAGTTGATTATCCTGATGTCACCCTTGTCATACAGGTATCATAATGCCAATTCCTACCCATGCAAAGTTAAATTCTCTTTTCCATAGGTGGCAATATTGAAGCAAGATTGAGCACTATATATTGCTGCAATCTCTCTATCTCACTAGGAAGGTTCCTCCCATAGTCATCTGTAACTGCTAAGAACCTTATTCTGCATTCATCCGTAACTGTTGAGAACCTTCTTTTCCATCCTTTTTTTTCTAATTATTTGATCTGATTTCAATGAAAGTTACTGTCTGTTGTCTCAAAAGAGGGTTCTGGACTTCTCGTGTAGTTTTTTTGAGCTTGTTGGAGATTTAAAGATGGAGTTGGGTGGCTCAGCATGCAGAAATAATCATTAGATTTCTTTGCCAATGGCAGGTGGGATTGCCCGCTGATAGACAACAATACATACATAGACTTGGTAGGACAGGACGCAAAGGCAAAGAAGGGCAGGGTATCTTGTTACTGGCGCCATGGGAGGAATTCTTTCTGTCAACCGTAAAGGATTTACCAATTACAAAGGCCCCAGCGCCTTCAGTAGATCCTGATACAAAGAAAATGGTGAGCTTAGATGAGCCCTCTCTTTATTTACTCTTTTTTTCTTTAGAGCCATCTTTTCATTCAATGGTATAGTCTTCTTCTTAGATTTAAGCGCAGTTATAGATTTGTAGCCAGACAAAAAATTCATGTTTTCTTGTAAGCATATTTAGTTTCTTAGGCTAGGGGATGGAGGAATGGAAAAATGATGTTTATTTTCTTATGGACAGGTGGAAAGGGCTCTGTCTCATGTGGAGATGAAGAGCAAAGAATCAGCGTATCAGGCGTGGCTTGGCTACTACAATTCGAACAAGAAAATCGGTAGCGACAAGATCAGGCTTGTGGAGCTGGCGAACGAGTTCAGCCACAGCATGGGGCTCGATAACCCGCCTGCCATTCCAAAACTCATCCTTGGCAAGATGGGCCTCAGGAATGTGCCCGGCCTTCGATCTAGATAGATTCTTGGTTTACATTCGTGCGGCCACCTTGATACGACAATTTATCAAGTGCTCTCGTAGAAGATGAATGCAGGGGCTGGAGTTTCTTCATTGATCTACAAGTCACCAGGTCATGAAGTGAATGTATTTGTTTTAGTCCATGGGTTAGAGTTTCAGAGATGTACTTATACCCCATTTATTGGAACCAGGTGAACCGGATCCCACAAAGCGCATAGCGTCCTTCGCTTGTTTGTAGCTAAATATCTAGGCGTGTTTGAACCTAGAGCTCTCCCAAAGCATAAAAGTACTAGTAGATCAATTCACATTGACTTATCAGTCTGTGATCGGCATCCTTCGATTGTAAAGCATGGTAAGCTCAGCGGCTATAAGCTGATAATGAACCCCCTAGGTAATTTGTTTGATTGTTAAGAGACTCGAGCCTTCGTTCAACAAGCTAATTTGCTCGATCGTGGTTGTCATCCATTAAATTTGATGGGACCCTTTTCCAGGGTTGGACATTTCATTGACATGCATGCATGGTTCCGAACTTTGAGGGAATGGTGGTCCAGAAAAGATGGTTCGACGTGTTAAATGAGGCTTATCCTATTCCCTTTTTGCCTACTTTGGGTAGAAGTCCCTGTTTTACATCCAATTTTTGGCATCTAACCAAAGTATCATCGAGGCTTAATCCACCCTATATAAAGAAACCTCATCTTTGTTTTGAACGAATCAAATTTAGCCGGAAAAGGATAAAAGTAAAAGAAAGGAAAATTGCCAATGACTCGCTTGTCAATTTTCCATTTATGGGCATGAGCAAGAATAATTGGTGTGGTATCTACTTTGGGTTTTTGCCTGATGCTAGCTTATTGCTATCATCAGTAGTATTGCGTAAAGATTCCTATCAACACATTTAAATTACCGCTACATGTACACGCTAAAGAGAAAGGCACCCCCCCACTGTCCCAATCAATTCAAGCGTCTCTGTGTGAGAAAGATGGAGAGATTTCCCCATACACGGCGTGTTGAAATCAAATCCCATCGTCTAAGTCCATGTCATTCCGCGTATACTCCTCCGATCGCACGAAAGAGAGGTGATTCGGATTCCATACGAATTTTTAGTCCTAACTTAAATAGGATCAGAAAGGTGGATTCAATTTGGTACGTCAAAACTAAGCTCATAAAATTGAGAGAAAAAGAAGGGATCGACCACAGTTTTCGCATAACCCGAAATCTTTCAATCACTCGTGGACGATTCGTCGTTGAAATGAGCCGGGAAGTTCATACGTATGAACATGAGAGTTTCAGACATTGTAAAGACGTTATCCTGTGTCTCAAGCTTAACTTGGGTCGTTGAATGGGTAGTATGAGCCAGGGCAAAAAGCTAACGGAGCAAAAAGATCATTTGTTTCTAGTCCCTCCCGGCAAACACATGGTTTTCTTTTCTTTTCTTTTCCTGGGATCCCAACGAGAGCGAGTGCATCATGCATTGTCATCTAACTTTAGTAGGACTTCCCACCATTTTAAGAAACGATTAAATTATGTGCGGAACCATTGCACTTGGCACAAAAAGTCAAGGACCCAATGAACATCGATTTCTTTTAGCAACGGGTTACAATGTCATGCACCTCTGACATAATGCGATCGCGACTCCCATGTCGACCAAATGAAGCTCACGTGAGTCCCGACGATTTCTCTCGATACTAATCGCTAATCACACCGTTCACACGGTCCCCTTCGAGTCCTCCTCGAACTTCAAAGCTCATGTTCCTCTTTTTCCTCCTTGAATCGCGAATGAACATGTGAAGAAGTAAGAGTAAAGTCTACGGACGCACTTGCAAGACTCAAACAGGTCAAATTTCAAAAAACTTACACAAGGAAGGAAACTTCTTATCATGATCTCGAAATGATGTATGTTAGCTCAGTGCATGCATACCTACTCCCCAGCCAAGATAATCCCATCTGCCCATGAAGTCACTTTGCTTATATTTAGTGCTACATACGATGCATTTTCCTCAATTTCCACAAATTCTTGGTCTCGGTCTTGGTCGGTGAAGGATCGACCTTATCCACCTTTATATATAATAGAGTGCAAAAGCAGATGTATGGGCAGACGCGGCCCTATCACAGCACACAAATCATTTTTTTGTTAAAATTGCTTCATCCCTCTACAAGACAGACAAGTGGTCTGCCATCAGCCGTTGCTGTCATTTTCGTCGACTACTATATATTTTTTTTCTGTCCTTGAATTTTTCTGGAAGGATTAAATTTTCCTGAAAATGCTGTAAGGTTACGACCACAACGTGAAGCTCGTGCTGCAGCACTGAGCAGAACTGGTGACAGAGAGGGAACAGGATAGTGTGGCCCTGGTGAAACATGTGCAGAGAGAGAGAGAGTTCCTGGCATCCACTCATGCGGAACATGTTCTCTGAAAAATTCTCAATTCTTCCGGAGGAGGCCATGTATTTTGTGTGGAGGACACCAAAAAAGAAGAAGCCTAAGTCACTCGAAAGTGGTCCAAATCTTCAAAGCTTTCAACGTGAAGAAATGAGGGCAATCTAGCTTTGGACTGGTTCGTGAACTCAGTTCATTCATGGAGTGGCCGTCCCTTAGCTAAATTGACTAGAAACTAGTTTAGATGATTTGGGTCGTTCCACTTAGAGGAACCTAGACTTGAAAATTTGGAACTTACTTATCGAAACAGGTTCCTTAATTTTTTGAATTTGAAGCCTCCTCTGTTTACCCAGAAACCTGAAACCTACTCTGTTACAAGTTTCATGAACGGTTCTAAAATCTACCCATGGTCCATCTGTACTCCTAATTAAACGATTGCGGTGAATCATCACTTCTAATGACCACAATTTGCTACAGTCTACTAATTACAATTCATATTTAGATACATGAAGAATATAAAATATTAATAAAGTAAAAGTCTCAGTTATGAATATTATCGGAAATGGAAGCTCATACTAGTGGTTTCAGATTACACACTCATTATTGGACGTCATGAAATACCGCAAGATCGTGCGAAGATATAGAATAAGAAAAACACAAAGACTCGTTCTAGATTCTAAGCTCCAATTTACCTGGAACTTGGAACCTACTCTCCAGATTAGATTCCCCAAATTTTGAAACATGGAACTTACTCTATATACCCTAGAATCTGGAATTGGACCAGTTTCTACCTATCCGGCTCTCAGATTTTCAATTCTACTATGCCGGTCCGGTTTTTAGGTTTCTGGTTCTATTCTGAAATTATGTTCGCCCCTAGTTCCCTCTCCTCTTTCTCTCTTTCCTTTTCGTTCTCTTTCCTTTTTACACATTCACCGGACGGAGCGATTAAAGAGTAAATTTCGACAATAGCCCGGGAGATGTTTGGTGAAAATTTAAGCCTTCAAAAACAATTGAGAGAACAAAAAAGGGAAAGGGTAAGAAATTGAATGGAGTCATGCCCACATCAGCCTCACTTCATCAATGACCACAGCTTGAATCAGCACCCCCTCCACTACCACCATTCCTAGTGCTCTGCCTACACATTCCAGCACCCCCTCCCAATTACCCTCCCAAAGCTGCCTACTTTTTTGCACTCAAGCAGTTAAAAAAAAAAACAAGTTAAAAAAAGAATTCACAGGCAACCTTATCCTCCGCTAATTTGATAATTGGTGAGAGGGTGATTAGTTAGGATTTTTAAATCAAAAGTTGATAAAATAGCTTGCCTAACTTTTTCCTTTATTAATTACAAATTTCGAAAAAGTCAGACAAAAGCATTCGGAATTACCCTTTTTTTTATTTCCGCTTTTCACGCACGCACAATTTTTTTTTTCTTAAATTCACGGTTGACGTGTTTGGATTGTTGGTTCGCAGTTTCACATAATAATTAATTTTTTTTGGGGTTAGATATTTGCGATTATAATAAGAGAGTAAAGACAAGGGGGCTATCGCTTTCCGAGTAGCCGACCGCCGATAAAAAGGAGTAAAAAAAAAATCAATTTATTTAATCAAGCTTTTCTTTTCTATAACTTATTTAATCAGAGTTTATTATTGGTCACGAAGATAAGCATTTCTGAAATTGCGATGGTGGGCCCCACCGTCCCCCCACCCAACCCAACCCAACCCAAACCCAACCCGCGAGTGCGGCTCCTAAAAAGTCGACTTTTCCAATTTTTGTTTTTTTTCCTTAAAATAATTTTATCATTTTTCATTTATGGCGAATATAAAATTAGATAATGTCGGCAAATTCGGAGATTTTTTACGGGCTCTCGGCTCAAAGCCAAGAGCTTAAAGGTCGTCTCTCTCTCTCTCTCTCTCTCTCTCTCTCTCTCTCTAAGCAGCAGCTTCGTCTTCGTCTTCGTCTTCTTCTGCAACTGCGATTCTGCGGTTCTGCAGCGAGAGAGCTGGAGAGATTGATAGAGGGCGTGAGCGGAGATGAACGGCGGCGAGGCGGCTGGGATAATGGAGGCGCAGTACATACAGAGGCACCACCGCCACGACCCCCGCCCCAACCAGTGCACGTCCGCTCTCTTCAAGCACGTCAAGGCTCCCGTCAATTTGGTACGCGCCCCCCCTCCCTCTCGTGTGTTGTGCGATCATCGGCCGCTGGCTTTTCCCGTTCTGTTGGCGGATTTCTGATCCGGTTGGCGGCTCGCGGTAGATGAATAGGGTGTGGATCTGATGAGCCGGAGCATTTTCCAAGCGTTTGGGGGGCGAATCGTGGGCTTTCAGGTTGGGGCAGTTCGCATCGGCTCGATCATCTGTCCCGGTAATGAAGTAACGAGCTCCGGGACGATGTTGTTGAGCTCGGAGTGTAGTTGCTGTGCGGGAGATGATCGATAATGATCCAATTCTAGTGGTTCTGGTGTTTAGCTCGATGAGGGACCGTGGGGAGTGACTTGATTGGGGGTGGCGTGTGTGATTTTGGAATCCTTTTTGTTGATTCTCTTGTGCTTTGTGCGTCAGGTGTGGTCTCTGGTGAGGAGATTCGATCAGCCCCAGAAGTACAAGCCGTTCGTTAGCCGATGCGTTATGAGAGGAGGCGAGCTCGGGATCGGAAGCGTGCGAGAAGTTAATGTTAAGTCCGGTCTTCCCGCCACCACTAGCACGGAGAGGTTGGAGCTCCTGGATGATGAGGAGCACATTCTTGGCGTTCGGATTGTTGGCGGCGATCACAGGCTAAGGGTAATACTTCTATGTCATTAACTTCAAGCTCCTCTTTGGCATTTTCAATTGCTATCGACATTTTCTGAAGTTACCCGGTACGATCGACAATCTGTGAACTGGGGGGATCATGATTTTGTGGTAAGCCTTGATGCAAAAGCTTCGTCTTTTCTCATCATGTGGTTTGGGGAAGACGTGACACCGACTTCTCTCTTCTTTTTTGTTAGTTCTGTGGCTTTCTAAACCTTATCCCTTTCGTCATTCTTTCATTTTCTCTTTTCCATTTTAGCCTCATTTGGTACATCGTTTTGAAGAATCTGACTGTATTCTGGGACAATTTCCCGACAGGTTCAAATTGTAAAGTGTGACCTTCTTCCCCTGGTTTCAGCTTCACAGGAAACTGTCTTTTTCCAGGGGCTATGCCCTGCAATGTTTCTGTGCCGACTATCCTGGCTAAAAAATTGCTAATCTTTTAAAGGTAGAATTGAATCTATTTGACCAAAGGGGAGCCTCTTATGAAGGATATGGCATGAATGAAGTAAATTTGCAGGGCGACCGCCACGATCGAATCACTAAGGGTCTAGGGTACATGCCTTCATGGAGACAGAAGTGTTTGTTCTAGTGTTATTTCTCATTTTGTATATTGATTCTAGTGATAAAGGAAAGTAGAAAGCATCGGTTTCATCTTGCAAAGTATGAAATTGCCGCTAATGGCTTACAAATTCCGTACACTCCTTTTGCCTTGCAGAATTATTCATCAATAATGACAGTCCATCCAGAGGTCATCGATGGGAGACCAGGGACGCTGGTAATTGAATCTTTTGTGGTAGATGTGCCTGAAGGGAACACCAGGGATGAGACGTGCTACTTTGTTGAGGCCTTGATCAGGTGCAATCTGAAATCTCTGGCTGATGTCTCAGAGAGGATGGCTGTGCAGGACCGGACGGAACCCATTGATCGGTTTTGAACAGGGTGGCTACTGCTGCGGTGTTGGAGAGTTTAGATCCTAAGAACTCCCTAATGTTGAGCCATCCATTCATGTTGTCGGAAGTTTCGGTTGCATCGATGGCTGCGATATCAGTCTTTTGGAAATAGTTATGCTATTCACGAGCTTGTGCTTGCCAGTCTGTTCTTCTCACTTTGCAATTATCTGCAAAGTAGAGTCCTACAAAGGCTTCTGTATGCATTTGTTGAATGGAGTGGATGGTTCCTTTTTGCCCCGAATATTACTAGGTTTTTTGTTCTGTGATGCTTATGCAATGGTATGTAAATATCAATAACAGATGCTCTTATTTCTGTGGGAATATGTAATTTCGCAACCTTTAGGTCAGGAGGACCCAGTCCTTCGTACGAGGCTGTGATACTTTATGCTAGCTTGTAAATATTATGGACATGTTTTGGTTATTTGATGTTATTGCTGCGTGACTTCCCCGTTAACACTCGTTAGGCTACAATCAAGAAGCTCTCTCCATGATTAGAAGGATTAATGTCCTCTATCGATATTCTTTTTTTTGAAAAAGCGAATTAGGCTGTGTTCGTTTCCGGAAAATATTCTTCCGAAAATATTTTCCGGGTTTTCCGGTGTTCGGGGCGGAAAATGTTTTCCGTGGGAAAACATTTTCCCACCCCACCCCCAAACTCTTCACAATTTTGAGGAAAATGACTTCCGCTTCTGAGAAGCGGAAGTCATTTTCCGTAAGTCTAAGCTTCAGACTTCTTCCCTTTTTTTTTTTTTTTGTTGCTGCTGCTTCTTCTACCTCAGCCAGTCGGCGGCCGGCGACCGGCGAGCTCAGCCTGGCCAGAGCCTCGCCGGTGACCTCGGGCGAGGTTCGCCGACATCCGGCGACCTGGGCGAGGTTCGCCGACGTCCGGCGAGGCCCCAGCTCGCACGGCCGGCGAGCTCGGGCCTCGCCAGATCCGGCGACCTCGGGCGAGCTCGACCTCGCCCAGGTCGCCGGATCTGGCAACCGCGCCCGAGCTCGACCTCGGGCGAGCTCGAGGCTCGCCCAGGTCGCCGGATCTGGCGACCTCGGGCGAGGCTCGACCTCGGGCGAGCTCGACCTCGCCGAGGTCGCCGGATCTGGCGACCTCGGGCGAGGTCGAGGCTCGCCCAGGTCGCCGGATCTGGCGAGGCCCCAGCTCGCACGGCCGGCGAGCTCGGGCCTCGCTAGATCCGGCGACCTCGGGCGAGCCTCGACCTCGCCCAGGTCGCCGAATCGGGCGACCTCACTCAGGTCGCCGGCCGGGCGAGCGAGCTGGGGCCTCGCCGGCCTGTGGCAACGCTCGAGCTCGCCTCTGGCCGGTCGCCGGACGTCAGCCGTGGCCGTGGCCGGCGACCCGCCGGAGAAGAAGAAGGAAAAAGAACACAACCGGCGGCGATCATTGCCGAACACCGGAAAATATTTTCCCAAAATTTTTCATATTTCAGCCGAACACCGAAAATTGTGTTCGAAAAATATTTTCTAGGAAAATGATTTCGAAAACATTTTCCAAAAACACAATATTTCCCGCCAAACGAACGGAGCCTTAGATTACTTCCACCAACCACGTTCCAGGATGAAGTTGTTTTGCCATGCTGTATCGAATTATTCATGCGGCTACAATTGTGAGTATTCTATTGTTCTGATGCTTAAAGATTCTTTGCCTTAATTTTAGGCATGTTCCATGTTCTTCTCGACTTAGGTTCTTCAAAAGTCAACGAAAGCGTCAAAGTGGCATATCAGATATTTGTGGTAAGTCAACTCTTTGAGCTCCATTTGGAGAACAAATGGAGTTGGGAAGAACATCACAAAAGTTCTTTAGCCTAATCGTAAAGCCGAGTACGACCAAATCAATAGAAGATTGCAGCACATACCGTGGGAATTTGAGGACAGCTTCCGAAGTAAAGTACGCATATCAGAGTTTTGTAGACATTCCTCGATCCAACTCTCCACGTAAGAATCCACAGATGAATTAATGATTAGGGTCTTCATGCGGTGCTCGACTTGGCATTGACATCTCCAGGACCAAACTCACGACTTCCAGGCGTTACCTCTTAATATACAATATGAACCTAGTCTCCTTGACATGTACAGAGGTTATGCATAGTTCCACAAGGAAACATGTATGAAGATCCATCTAGAGAGAACCCACTAAACAGCTTTCTAGCATTTGCCCTTGCTGGACTAAATTTGTTGGTGGAAAATTTTCCGTTCTCATCCTTAGTATTGACTATTGACTGTTATTATTTATTAATCAGAACATACTATAAATGGCCCATCGAACAACTAAAACTGGCTCAGCCATTGAGAATGCGTAACTTGTTCGTTTAGACCATAATCATATTGAGAGAATACTGTGGTGCTCCCAATCTTTTAGCTTCAGCGCCAAGTATCTATCTGGACGTGTCGACTTTTCCCTACATGAAAGAATTGCCATAAAACATTTTCTGTCATGTCTAAGTCATGACTATCTCCTAGTAGCCTGAGTAGCCCATGATTATACTGACCCCTTCTGGGAAACGATCTGCAGCGTCACATAGCCCTTCCTTTTCCCAGAGAGACTGGACAAACTAACAAAGGAAACAAAATTGAGTTTTTTTTTTTTATCAAAAAACAAAATTGAGTTGGTTAGTAGAAAGCACACAGAAAAGTGAGCGTCCAGCCTCCCTATATTAATGATCATCTAGTCACACAACTGTCTTTTCCCCCTGTACTCCTTCCTAATAGTTATAGGTGGTGACTCCACAAGAAAACACTTGAGGCCCGGGTCTTGCAATATTCATCCACCAGGTTTGGACAAACAACTGTGGAAGAAGCATATCCAATATTCTAATGATGGATGGGACAAATAAAGCGTCAATATTTAACACAGTGAAAATCCATTGGAAAAAGTGAATGAATCAAAGTTGTTGTCGAAAAACGAATAATTTAGGAGCAAAAGTCGTGCCAAAACTTTAAAAAAGATCGGATACAAAAATATTATAGGCATGCTAGTTTCTAATTTGTTTGACAGTGGCCTCATCTTAATGTGGTTTTGAAACTTCCAATTAGATAATGCAGTGGTTTTTAGTGAGGGGTTTAGGCACAACATAGGGTGCATGCACCTCATCAACCATATAACAATCATCATCAATGGTGCAAAAAAAAAAAAAAAAGAACAATCATCAAAATCATTGCGCATAGCCCAGCTGGAATCATAACCCTTGATCAAAATTAGAAGACTATGAACTCTTAATTAAATCAATCCTGTCAGCGTTCCAGAATTCCTATGACTAGAAAGTCTTTTGCGCCGGTCAATCACAAAAGACAGTAGTAAATCACTGTGTACAAAAAATTGGGGTTGATAACTTAAAGAAACACAACAAAAGAGGCCACTTAGTAAGATTACTGTATGTTCATATATTAAATTCTAAAGTGCTATATCTCATGAAAAAACCTGTAAGAGCAATCAGCTTCACAAGATTTCCTTCCCTTGGGTATTGATCAACGCAGAACTATGACAGAGTTATTTATTACTAAATATTATATTACTTCACCAGGCATCATCATAAAATTCCAGGACAAGACATAGGCCATGCCCAGAGACTTTTTTCGTGTTCATTTATGATGAACACTAACATCCAACTCTTCTCTTCTTTGAATTCTTGCAAATGCTCTTGAAAGTATGAGATGTCCCTGGTTTGATTAAAAAAATTTCTGGCCAATAATACAATCTCTTCGTAATAGACTATTAAGGATAGTAATTGATAGTAAGAGCCTTGTAAAGTACCTATAGGCGGGAGGACACTGTGGACAGAATCCTACTTCAAAGGAATTCATGACACACCTTGTATAATGGACTCTTCAATCATATATCATCATAGCAATTCTACCAGCATTCTCTAGGACGACCATCAGGAAACGTGGGAACAAGAATTTTTTCTTCATTATCTGTGGAGTAACCAGTCTGCTCAATTGGCTTGCCGATACCAATCTTCACAGAACTGCCATCTTCATCAAAATCTGGCGGTGTATCTTCATCTTCCTCAGTCCAATCATCCTCATAATTGCCATCAAAGTCGTCATCCTCATTGTCATCACCATCTACGCCATCAATCATCAAGTCACCAACATCCGACCAGTCTTCAGCACCCTCCTCATCACTTGCGTCTTTTTGCTCCGGGATTACCTCTGCGCTATCATCATCCTTCTTGGAAACTCCCTTCCTTGGAAATCGAGGCACAGCAACGAGAGAACGAAGCTTCTCCTTGATAAGCAACAGGCGATCCTTCTCTACTAAATGGGAGCCATGGTATGCTTCCCTCAGGAATACCGAGTCCCTGTCCCCTTTTAGAGATACATAAAACATATCCGGATGCCTTATCAGCATACCCCTCAGCTGCTGCGAGAATCTCAATTCCTCCCTAAAATGAGTGAGGTGATCAACAAGAGTTCTCTTCTCAACAGTGAGGCTCAAAATCTCATGGACAACCCCACAAGCATGCTTCTCTTTCTCTGGCGTACCTGACCGCAATGCCGAGAAATCAGAGTAAGGGGATATATACGGCATATCTCTGAATTTAGAAATCCTCTTCATCTCACCCCTAGACAAGACCAGAACCTTGGGCAACCTCACTCTATTAAACTTGGGAGGCCTATCAATGATCAAATTCTTCTCTTCAATCTCTCTCGCCCTGTTCTCCTCTTCAGCAAGCTGCACAGCAGATACCGCGAGCTCGGGATCCCAATGAGTTAGCTCTAAAGCCGGGCCTCCCGAGGTCGCTATGACCCTGAAGTATTGCGGATACCGGTGGCAGATCGTATCACGGAATTCTAATGGAAGCCCCAAATCACTCCTTAAATGCGCAATCTTCTCGAGTAAAATGCGCTTCTCCAGAGACATCATGACCAATTTCCTCAATTTGACTACTAACAGATCCTCCATCTCACTCCTAACTTTCAACTCCTCAAGATAAAGCCTTTCTGCTTCAGGGGTCAACTTGAACTTCAAAGAATAAAACCCTTCTTCTACAATTTCAAACACAGCCGGGAATTTCCTCAACAGAGCGATCAATCTTCGTTTTTTATCCAACCCCAGAGCCCTCTTGTACCTACCCAGTTCCCGCAGCGACATTGTTCGATCGGGTTGGCTTACGAGAATCTTCCTAATCTTGAGAACCATTTTCAGTTTCTTGTCCCTTTGAATTACATTATCAAACGGAAGCTCCTTCCTTCTTTTCACCCCAGCCCTTACCGGACAAGAAGTCCTTACTGGGTGTCTCGGATTTGCACTGTTCTGTCGCAAAATCAAAGCTTTGCCCAAAAATGGAGCCTTTTCCGGATAACGTGGGGAACAAGAGGCACGTGGTTTCGCAGGCAATCTGGGTCTTTCGAGAAGAGAGAAAGGAAGAGGAGTTAAGGGCTGAAGCAACAGTCCCTGTTCCATAACAGCTTCATCGAACGAAAGAGATAATGCAAACACTTCCCAACTGAGGAAGAAGGAAGGTAATTTCACGAGCTTGAAGCTGAGCCGAGCGAACGAAAAAAGTCACAGGAAATGACATTTCCTTATTAGTAGATTGTCACTGTAGTAATTGAATATGAACACGTAATTCAGATTTCGTATGAGAAATAAGTGAGAACTCATGTTGAAATATCTTGTTATTAAAGAAATTTCTAAGAATGTTTTAATTTCAGCTTGTAATTCTTAGGATGTCTGCCGATGTCTTTAATAATTTTTTGGAGACAACGATAAATTTTCTAAAAAAAAAAAGGATTCCATAAGAATATTTTTCGCTCTCTTGGTTTTATTAAGAGAAAATGACAAAAATGGTCCATAAACTTTGACCCAATATGCAATGTGGTCATTGAACTTTAATTTATTCAATGTAATACATGAACTAATGTAGTCCCTAAACTTTACTACATGTTCATATTAGTCTATGGATCATATGAAAATGTTCAATATTGTCCATGGTCTTGAATTAATTGAATGACTACATTGAACATTTTCATATAGTTTAGGGACTACATTGAACACGTACCAAAAGTCCAATGATCATATTAAATAAATTAAAAGTTAAAGGACCGCATTGTACATTAGGCTAAAGTTCATGGATCATGTAGAATAAATAAAAAGTTTAATAATCACGTTGCACATTGAATCAATGTTTAATGATTATTTGTGTCATTATCTATTTTATTAATAATACGGAAATTTAAAAAAAAATAAAGAATTTCATATGAAAAATTTTCTTTCTTTTGGTTTTATTAATAATACGGAATTTTTACCGTCGCCGGAGTGTTGAACTTGAGAGCTCATTTGACCAAATAACAAGAAATAGAAAAACTCGAGAGAGCTCAACTCAGTCGCCGGAGCTACGAGAGGTATAATACGAGACGAATGGCGAAGCCGGCGAAGAGACGGGACCGTCGCGCTGCACCGAGCTCCGCTTCGGCGCAGCACCGAAAAGCACCCGGCGCATCCGCCGACCAGGACGTGCTGGGTGACTCCGCCTCAGATCGCAGGCTCATTCTCATCTTCGTCGTCTTCTTCGTGCTTTCTCCCGCCGTCGCCGTGCTCGTGTACCGTCTCAAGTACGCTCCGGGCACGGAGGCCCCAAGCTCCGCTGCACGAGGAGGAGGAGGAGGAGGAGGGTTTGTCAAGACCGATGCGACTTACCAAGAAGTTCTGGCGGTAAGTACCGCTCTGCGGGGGGGAAAAAGTTTTCATCTTTCTTGTTGAATTTCGATTAAAAAAAAAAGCAGAGAGAGGGGGAGTTTTGAATTTGCCCATGTCGTAATTCTGGGAAGAAATTCAGGAGAATTCCAGGGTCGCCGAGAATGCCTCCCGACGGAATTTCGGGAATCCGGTGCTTGCTTACATCACCCCATGGTAAGACCTTACTGAAAAATCCGGAATTGCTTAATCTTTGATGTGTTGTTGCTAAGTTCCACTAGAGCTTGCTCATGTTTCTAGCGTGGAGCTTGTATCAGTTGATTTGGAAGTGTTTCTAATGGTTTGATGAATTGTAAGAGATTGGTCTGTGTTCATACAAATTGGACACTTTGGAAATTCGGTGCTTGCGTTTGGTCGACAAATGTAGTTCCCGCTAGCATCGGTATAATATTGTTGTTGTCATTGAGCTTATTTGGTGCAATACACCTACTTCAATGTAGGTTGCCTTTCAAGTTTCGGATTGGATTTTACAATACCGGTGCTTCAATCTTTTTCTTGCGGTGTTTGTGAACGTTGAGATGTTAAGATTCTTGTTTGAGGGAGATACTGAACATAAAAAGCCTGAACTTTGCAGGAACTCAAAGGGCTATGAGATAGCAAAGCGGTTCAACTCCAAATTTACACATTTGTCACCTGTGTGGTATGAACTCAAAAGGTATGCCCAACTCCCATATTTCATTCAGCCATTAGCTTTGTTAAGTCTAACCCACGTCACTTAAGTACGTGGTTATAATGTGCCGTAAATACATATAATCTCCCTTAACCTAATAGTTTAAGCTTTTGGGTTACAAACATTCGAGCATGGTATCAGAGTCTAAGTCAATAGTTGAAATCCTGGCACTTCTCTCTCAAACTCAATGCTCATGGTGGGTTACAACAACTTCCTCGCACGATAAGGGCCGTGCTCATTTCACAATATAGAGCCGAGTTAATCACGTGTGTAGGAGTGGCTTGCACATGAGGAGGAGTGCCAAGTATAATCCACATCGCTTAAATATGTGGTAATAATGTCCTTTATATACATGTAGTCTCTCTCCACCTAATAGCTTAAGTTTTTGGTTTAAACTTTCTAACAAGCTATGTTTGCTAATTTATGAAGTCTACTTCTCTATTGGTCTCTCAACTGCCTAACAGATCAATCTCATCTTTCCTTAGAAGAGGCAAGTCCTGGGAGGTTGGAGTGTGGTATTGGCTGGTTTTGCATATCCTCTGATAATTAACATCGAGAACCGATGTTAGAAGACGGTGTTTAGGCATTTTGGAGCTGTATCATTTTGTGTGAAGATATAGTTTTATTTTCCATAAATGTCTCCAGTGGCTGGAGTTCTTCTTATGTTATTATGAGAAGAGAACTTTGGAATCTAGAGTGGCAATATAATGATACCCACTCACCTGTGAATTCTCAATCCACAGCCAAGGAAGAAGCTTAACCTTGGATGGGAGACATAATGCTGATGCGGAATGGATCTCAGAGCTCAGAACGAAAGGGGATGCTCAGGTATGGTAATTTTATCATTTAAAACTTCAGGTTAAGGTTGACAAGTTGGATATTTTAATCTCTTAGATTGCTTGCTTGAGAATTCGCTTGGATGTTAACAAATTAGACTTAGTGCTGGCAAAGATGTTTTAGTTGAGGTGTCAAGGCCAGTGTACCTTCTACATTTGCCTACTTTTGAGTTGCTACTTTAAGTCGTACTATAATCTGCAGGGGACCTTTGACCAGAGACCTGTCCATATTTTATGCTTAAGTTGTTATATTCTAAGTTCTTGGGTATTGTACTCTGTGATTTCAACCTAATGAATCTCTTTGTGATCAGGTTTTACCTAGAGTTGTTCTGGAAGCACTTCCTACAGAGCTGCTTAGGAAGAAGAAGCAGAGGGCTAAAGCTATTCAGCTGATAGTTACAGAGTGCAAGTAAGTTTCCTTTGGCCTCAATGGGTTATTTCTTTAAAAAAGACAGTCCTATCACTTGATAAGTCTTGAATTAGATATCTGTAAGAAATTTACCTTGCAGTTTATTTGAGGTTTTCCCAACTGGAAGGTGATTTATATAACATGACGTAGAACAATTTCCCCTCTCTCGGCATCATCATGTCATCATCATGTCAATTCCCTTGTCCATTCTAAAATAAAGGAGGGGCCTTTTGGTTAGAAGTTTTTAAATGTTGGTTGATGCTGATAAAGGTTCCTTAGCATTTATCAACTCTTTAACTGCCCTTTGTCTTTTAGGGAAATGGGCTATGATGGCATTGTGCTAGAATCCTGGTCAAGGTGGGCTGCTTATGGGATCTTAGATGATCCAGATTTGCGGACTATGGTATGAATTTGTGCTTGAATCAAGAATTCAATCTCGATTATGCTGTTATTCAGAGTTTTCTAAAATCTATCCTAGTGTATCAGAATTTTTGAATTTTTTATGACCAGAATGTTTTTTTTTTTGGTAAAGTTATGACCAGAATGTTTATACTCGATTGTGTGAATGTTTTGCCTATTTTGTAATGCTGAGTTGATGTAGCCTGCTCCAACTCTAGATAGATAAATCTTTCAATATTGTCCCTATGAGCTCCAAAGATATGGTATTCTGATCCTTTTATCTTACTTGAAGAATCTGCTGTTTTGGATGCAGGCACTCCAATTCGTACAAGCACTTGGACGTGCACTTCATTCTGCCAGCTTGGATAGGAATGGGGGGCAAAACTTGCAGTTGGTCTATGTAATAGGTCCCCCACGTTCGAACAAGCTAGAAACGCATGACTTCGGGCCAGCAGATCTTCGAAGCTTGGACGGTGCTGTAGATGGCTTTTCTCTTATGACCTATGACTTTTCAGGCCCTAATAATCCTGGTCCTAATGCCCCTTTGAAGTGGATTCATTCCATAATGCAGCTGCATCTAGGTACTGGTGGGGATAAAGGACTTGCCCGCAAAATATTTGTTGGTCTCAACTTCTATGGAAATGATTTTGAACTTTCCGGAGGTACTTAATATTCCTCAATCATTTAGTATACTGTTGCTAATGTTGTTGAAAGAGCTTCATGCATGAGGTGACAATTTAAATCCCGGTACCTCTTCAGAGAAAATTGTTGTTTCTGACTTCAAGACTTAGTAGGTACTATGGATGGGCTAGGCTCATTCTATATCTGAACTTATCTGTGATTTGGGAAAAAGTGCTGGTGTTTTGAGGAAGAATGGTTTTGTGACATCATTCAGATGGACCAGTTTCATAAGTCGTTTTATCTAGAAATTGATCTCAGGGGTATCAACCATGGTGAGTTTAGATGTGATTCACTGATATTGACCCTGTCAAGTTCTTTGTCATCTTGGTCCTCTTTACATTTGGGTAACGTCTTGGTCTTTTTGGTGGTTCTATTTGTATCATAGCTTTTCCTAGAAATCCCCTAGGGATTCCTCTACTCTCCAAAGTTTCTCAAGAAAGTGTCAAGAAGAAGCACTCACATAGTATGGTGAATTCCTGTTTGACTTTTGTTGAATTCCTGGTTTAGGTGGTGGAGCAATTACTGGAGCAGATTACTTGTCTTTGCTGGAAAAGCACAAGCCTTTACTGCGGTGGGAAAAGAACAGTGAGGAGCACTTCTTCGTGTACACTGATCAAAACAGTGCCCAACATGCAGTTTTCTACCCATCATTGATGTCAATATTCCTCCGCCTAGGGGAAGCACGTCATTGGGGAGTGGGCATCTCAATTTGGGAAATAGGGCAAGGACTTGATTACTTTTATGATCTTCTTTAGAACCTTGGCTTCACAGTTTTGTAGCCTGATTCTTGAAAGGTAAAGAAATTTGCCAAAATACCTTTCAACGGTTTTTTGACTTCAAAGGAATTATCTTTTTTCAGTTGAATGTCTGATCTTATAATTTGCAGAGGTAACAACAGCTCACAACCATGCCATCGCAATCCGAAAGGCGCAAAAACAGGGAAGAGACATTACAGAATCATCATTCTCAATATGCAAGCTCATATTGTTACAATGGCTTAAGATTCAGTTCCCCTTAGTTCAGCAATCTTCTTTCCTCATACATTTTTCCCGTGACTATTCTAGTTGTGCAACTGCCAAGCGAGTGCTGCTGCTTCAGATTATGCGCAGATGAGTGATTTCTGCTTGTGCTATCTACCTAGTGAAAGAGGCCAGATATTGTAACAAAAAACACAAGGAAAGCAAGAATCCAGGTTACTGCAGAAGCTTACGGCATCAATAATAAAACGTTGTTCTAGATTGTGACAAGTAGCTCTTGCCTTTGTTTGGGCGGATGACAACATGAATGAACCTGCTAAAGAAAGCCTTCCCCGTTCATTCTTTTTCTGAAGTTTTGAGGACGGTGCTCTTCTTTTTCTTGTGTCCCAAATTTGCCCTTTCATCTTCTTATGTGGCAATTTCAGTAGACAGGTGATTTTTGTTCTTTTGATAACTTGTTCTAGGTGTATGTTGTCTTAAATACCTAATGTTTTCCACTATAAGTACATTATTACTGAAGATATCAATTTCTACGAAAGGTTTGGAGACTCCATTTCTTCGACCCATTTTATGATGTGCGAGAGACCGGGGCGTACGTGTCGAGTTTTACAAGTCAATGTACTTCTGCGATATGCCACCCTGATGGCGTGTACTTTTTCTCGAGTGTTCCAAAACCTTTCACAAAGTTCTCTCAAATCACAGCCACACATGCACAAAACAATGAAATTGGTGAATTCATCAGGCCTCCACATCCTAAGGTGATCACATCCTCATTTGCCACGCGTCACCCTGCTATTGGCGAATTCCCACCCCTCTCATGTCACGTCATCTTTTCCTTCCACTCGATGCAGAATCAATGAAACTGCACTCAACTGAAGCTAAGGTTTGCCTCAATCCGTCGACTTCCTCATCGTAGGAAAGACACCATATTGGCGATGAAGTCCGAGTTTTGATGGTGTCCCAAGCTTTTTCATCAGTTCATTGAGAACTCCATCAAGAATTCCGGTGTCATCAAAATTATGCCATGGAGGCCCTCAAAGCAGCTGGCTTGACACCAATCTCAGTCCTTTGTGACAGAAAAAGAGAACCCAGAAAAGTCTTGTCCCTCCCCTCAAATTCTCCACTCAAATTATCGAATTCCTCTTCTTCAAGCAACACTTCACCGAACTTTCAAGAGCCTGTGTCTTGGGGCTTCCATGGAGGTCTTGTTCTTGCATCGTCTCTTATTAACACTGGCTTGGCCAAGGCCTTGACATATGAAGAGGCACTGCAACAGTCAGTGAGCACCTCAGCCCCTGAGGGCGGCCTCGACTTTGATGCGCGTGGCGTTCTTGATAATGTCATCAGCTTTGCCACCGAAAACCCAGCAGTCATAGTGGGCGGGGCTGTTATTTTGGCGCTTCCGTTGGTTCTGTCTCAAATTTTCAAGCCACCAAAGCCATTTGGTGTGGATTCTGCTAGGAATGCTTATGCAAAGCTCGGTGATGATGCGATTGCTCAACTGCTTGATATAAGAGCTCCTGTAGAATTCAGACAAGTGGGTAGTCCAGATGTCCGTGGTTTGGGCAAGAAACCGGTTTCAATTGTGTATAAGGGAGATGATAAGCCGGGTTTCTTGAAGAAGCTGTCCTTGAAGTTCAAGGAGCCAGAAAACATTACCTTGTTCATTCTTGACAAGTAAGATTACGTTAACTGATCAGACTGCCATTGTCCATAGCACATAGCTGATCTCTTTGTATACTTGGTTGGAATAACCTCAATTCAATAATGGGAACGCGTGACACCTCTCGCACCTTGCAACTTAGTATAACTACTGGAGTAATCAGATATATATATATGCTAAGGCTTATTTGCATGCTCAATACCTTCACTTGAATTTGATCCTGGGAGCAACCCATGATTTTCCAGAAAGCACCATGATTTGCATAATTAGCAAGTAGCACATGGACATGGCAATGTCAAGTTAAAACATGACCTCTAAATTTGTAAGTTAGCATTCAGCTATTCACTAGACCGGAGACTTTCTTGATTGGAGCATGGCAAATGCCAAGCATAACTATGATCCAGCACAATTTGAGATTAAGAAATATCCTGAAATTAATCTAGAATTTGCCACTGTCGAACAGGAGGTGCCTAATAGAAAATTATTAAATGCCTTTTGTGCTAACCAGTCAAATGTGGCTTGATTCAGTAAACCTATTGATATCATAGTACACTTTTTACTATTTTCACCCTAGAACAGTTGTAGAAAACATATCTATGCATGTTTAATTTGTTAGTTCAGGAGAGTGAAATCGATAAATCAGGTTTTTTTTTTTATCAGAATAAATCAGGTTTAAACATTCTTTTTGCAGCAAAGCTGTGGAAGCTCACATTGTTTTGTTTTGCTGGAAACCAGATTCGATGGGAATTCCGAACTTGTTGCAGAGCTGGTCACTGTGAATGGTTTCAAGGCAGCCTATGCAATAAAAGACGGGGCAGAAGGACCCCGAGGATGGATGGTCTTTGCCACATTTCGTTTTTCTTTAACCTATCTTTGGATCTTTTGTATGTGTTCTCATAATGATTTGCATGGACTGTGATATTGCAGAATAGCAATCTGCCTTGGATACCTCCAAAGAAAGCATTGAGTCTTGATCTTAGCAATCTCACAGAAGCTATTGGCGGAGCAATTGGAGTACGTATTTGAGCTTTTCACTTTACTTTGATATACTAGTTTTGTGATGATGGCTATTTATAGAATGCTTAAGGATAATGGTGCACAAACTGTCATGTCCCATGGATTTTTATAGATATAGAATGTTTCAGAGCTGAAGACAATAAGAATTAAAAGATTCTTGCTGAATTTGTGATATCAATGTGAAGCTGGCGGACAAAGTATATAGCTCACAAATATAATTGCATTGCATCAGTCCATGACATCAGGAGAACAGCTATAGCACTAATTCTTTTGCCTTTGCAGATAGGGAATAAACTTCCTTTGCTCAGCTTTCTTTTTCCAAATGGAACAGTTATTGCTTAGTGGACACAGAAACATGTACTTAAAGGTTTAATTTGAGACAAACTAACAGTAGAACATGAATAATGCTTTGCAGTCGACGTATGTATACCTGTCCATTGTCACTTGGTGCTGGTTCTGATTTCTGAAGTAGTCTCTCCAGTAAAATTTACTGTGAATATGTGCTTGCAGGATGGCTCAGATGGCTTGTCGGTTGCCCTTGGTGTTGCAGCAGCTACTGGATTAGGTCTGCTGGCATTCTCGGAGGTGGGTTTGTTATGTCCTTTGCTCTTGACTCTTCTTTTCAAACCCATTTTTCATCTTCTCCTATAGCACTAATTGATAAGTACTTTGGCTCCAATCTTGTTGGCTCCACTCAGCAAAATATTGAATTCAAATTTTCTTTTAGGTAGAGACAATCCTACAACTTTTAGGCTCTGCTGCAATTGTCCAATTTGTCAGCAAGAAACTTCTTTTCGCTGAGGTAAGGCTCCACTCTTGAGTACATTGTTTTTCTTGCATTGCTATGTTTTAAAGTTGATAGATGAGGGGCACTTCATAGAAAACGTCTCTTTGTCAATGTAAAGTGATTCTGAGATACTGCTTCACATGCAATTTCTGTTGAACGCCCTATTGACACTGCTGAGATTAGGATCTTAGTGATATAAAATTACATTTTCAGTGAGAAATTGCTTTCAGGCCTTTCCTAAGTGGCAAAATAATTAGTCTTAGTTCCCTACCATTGTCAATCGCAGGACCGGAAGGAGACACTGCAGGATGTTGATGAGTTCTTGACCACTAAAGTTGCTCCCAAGGAGCTGGTCGATGACATAAAGGTAATCTTGTTGACTGCCTAATCTTTGAGCTATAGAGATGATGACGACTTTGTGATCTATAGTACAAAATGTAAATAGTATTGTTACTTACGATTCTTGGAGATGGTCGAGTATGTGTGATTTCTCAAGCTTATAAGCAGTTCCCGTGAATCATGCTTATATCCATTTATACTTGAAAATTTCAGCAAATTGGAAAGGCACTTCTTCCAACGACAGCTAGTAGCAAGGCTCTTCTTGCTCCAACAGAAACTAGCTCAGAGCGCACTTCCACCAATAACACCATGCAGAAGATTGAAACACCTGCTGCACCAATCCCGGAGCTGAAAGTAGAAGCGGCTGCAAAACCTCCTAGTGAAGTAAACTCAGTACCCAAAGAGGAAGTAAAAGCCGAATCACTTCCAGGATTTGCGAGAGCGCTCTCTCCTTATCCATATGTAAGTCTCACTTCCTCCTTTCTCTAGGTTTATCCAATCTATTCTATATCCATTTGGCGCAACCTATTAGTGTCCTTCATCCCCCTAAGGTTTCTTAATTAACTCACTCAGAGCCCTGATTTTCTTTGACATCTGCCGTAGGATCTAATTATCAGTAATCTTGTTACAGGCAATAAAGCAGGGTTTCTCAGGAATTTTTTAAGCTTTCACTTATTTAAGATTCAAATTATCCAACTAATTTTGATTATATGCGATAAGTCTATCTTTTATCAATTCATGTAGCGATAATTTTCTGGTTGCAGTACCCAGATTTCAAGCCTCCAACATCACCTACTCCATCGCAGCCTTGAGATATATTCTCAAGGAAGTCCCACATGATAGCATCCATGCCTGAGCAACCGTAGCCAGTAATTCATATCTTTTAACTTCTCAAGTATAAGTCGAGAGTGATTTTCAAGTTCAGGGTGGCCTATGGGTTCCCTCTTACCAAAGCTCCTCATTGAGTTGTCATAATTTATAGCTACCGTGTCACCATGGATAATCAATTTGAGGCACTTTGGCTTCGGATATCTGGTAGATGTCTGTATTAGCTCTATTCGGAGTATAAAATTGAGATTTCATTCAAGGTCTTCTTGTGAAAAAGTTAGAGATGTGTTGATGTATTGATCCTTTTTCATGTTATTATCACAAGAAAAGTTAGAGATTGTCAATAACCGCTGTATGTGGCCAACGTAGATCAATTTCTCTTAATTTCTAAGTATTGTGATTCTCTACTCTTGGAACTGTATGTACCTAGTTCTTGTAGATTCTCATTTCTGTCTGTACTAACTGGTTTTCTCTTGCATGAGTACTACACTGTTTTCTCGATTCTTTGTCGACTCCCACCGAATCTTCTACTCTGGGGTCTGCCATTGATGAGACCAGATAAACATCAATTTCTGGTAAATTTCATCTTCAGAATGGCACGATAACAGGTGGGAGTCCTTCGTGATTGACTGCTAGGGTTCATGGGCAGTACACCAGGAGTCATGGGTTCATGATTAAATCCAAGACTGAACAGCATTCCTTGTATAGATTGAAGTCCAATAAATACATTCTCTCTGAGTGACGCTAGGTATAGTCTATAATACAAAAAGTTCGTATGCTAAGTCGTGTCAAACTTACATGTTAAAATTTAAACATGCGACCCATATTCAAAATGCTATCTATTAGACTGTCGCACTATTTATCTATCAACTTTGTAAACCGGTCTTGGTATATTTGGCATTATTCCACTCGCTGAAGTGCTTTTTCAATGTTTAGGACACTCAAGGCAACATCAAAGTACAAAACTCTACTGACGACTAAGAACTATATGGAGAAGAAGAGGAGGAGGAGGGGAAAAATGTTTTCGATTTTTGAATTAGGCAAGTAATCAAACATAGAGCTCATATGTCAAGTAAGAAGACGTGCATACCTATCTGTGACCAGCCATAGAGGAACCCAATCTTAAAAAAGTTGATAATATCTTGGCAAAATAAAATAAAATTTTAAAAAAGACTTCAAAAGTGGGTTGCAGAACATCTTGGCAAAAGCTGCCAAAATGTATTGGATGTGAGGATCTCTTCTGGCAACGACCCAGGTTGTTCAATCCAAAAATTGATAGAAAAAATAAAAATAGCTTCAAAAGGCATATATACGCATTGGGTACAGAGCAGAATAGAGAAAATGCGTACAGTTTTGAGTTGTGTGGCCTGGATAAGGAGGGAAAGGGATCGCTGACACAAGGGACGCAAAAGCTAATTTGGCCTCTCTTTTTGACCCTGTCGATCCTCATCGTCACACCAAACATTCTTCTCCTTCGGCTATCTTTTTAGCTTCAAAAGACAATTACCAAGTGAAACTGTTTAAGCAGATAGCATCTACATTAGTAGCGTTTCTACTTCTATTACACGATATACACACTTCATTAATTGGAGAGACAACGAAAAACCCACCCACAGTAGTTATAGTGATCATCAACTCTTGCTAAACAGATTCACTAGTTATGAGACTTGCAGGAAATGGCTTGATTCATTCTCTTGAAATCGCGATACAACTATACTACTCCATGCAATTAATTGGTGATGATCATAGGTGAAGGTACATGCACGTTGCATCTGCGGGGTCTAGCATCTCTAAAGCCAAATGCAACTTCACACGCTCGAGCTTCTTCTCTTTTCTGCATATCTAGATTACTGGAGAAGAGACAAAAAGACGAAGGCTCACATCAAAGATCCCCGAACGCTGAATGCATTTATTAATTGAGAGATGTCACTCTCAAACACCTCCAATCTAAGGAGAAAAAAATGAGAGAGAAAAAAGGGAGTTGATGCTGGGGCTCGACGAAGTGAGTACAAGCGTGCGGAGGTGATAAGATTAAGGTGCATTTAGGAGAAAACGACATGCTATGCACTTCACAGAGAGCCACTAGAGGGAATGCTTCATTCTCGAGTTCTTTACTTAAAAAGCAAAACTTTTTTACCGTTTTCACAGAATAGGGCAGCAACAGAAAATGCTGATTTTCTATGTTTTCACACGTAGGGAAAAAGAACAGGGAAGCAATGTTTCATTCAAGAGTCAAAGACTGGTGGGTTGGTTCGGTTCAAAATTCAACTTAATCTGCTTCATGTCAGGGATTCAAAAGAAAACTAATTTGAGGTGGAAACTGCCATAGAGATTCTGATACTTGATTGCAAATGCAATTTTCAACTTTCTTGAGCTACCCTTCATGCAAATAATCCCAAACGCTCTGAAATTTGTACTCCAGATGCCATCCCTAATCTCAAATTAATCAGCCTGACCAGCAACTATCAGTTATTAATACACATAGAGGTGCATAGTGCTAGCTTAAATAAATGTATCATCAACGACCTACGAAGTGGTAAAATTCAGGTCCCAGGCTGCACAATGTACTAAAATTCTGATTATTAATTAAATGACCGTGGTGAACATAATAATGTCCTATTTATAACGAGACCAACCCCATTTCCGAGGCATGCAGAAAATATGTACAGTCACATAAATATGCATGCATGAATGTTTGTATGTAGTTATCTAGTTTTGGAATGATGAGAGTAACCCTAGTCTCGTGGTACATAGACCAAGGAATGGCTGTCTTTGCCGCCCAAGGTTTTCCCCAAATAGTCATACTGTTTGGGAGCATACTTGTCGGGGGTGGTGGTGTTTTCCAATCTTGTAGCCATACTTTGACTGAGAGTCTTTCATTGACTTTCGAAAATGATTTTCCACATTGATCGAATTTACACTGTCGACCAAGTTAGACACATGAGTTCCATGTTATATATGTCGTTTCTATCGATAATTCACTCCGTTGAATTGGCACCGCTAGACGAACACATGTTTGATCAATGATACATAAACTTTCAACTTACGATGTTAGCAGCGCTAATGAAAACCGTGAACTCTTAATCGGTATGCCTTTATACTAAGTTGAGCAAATCCCCGTCAGACGTAGGAATACTGTCACTCGATGCTCTCGAGACAATGAATAAGTTTCTCAATAGTAAATTTACATTTTGAGGGCAAAAGAGGGGAAACTTATTGACAGTTCCCCCACCTTAGAAGGTGGGAATAAAGAAAACGATGGAACGAGCCATGGAGGCGCGAGCAACGAGTTTGTGAGTTGGACGTAAGAGTAAGAGTACACGTCAATAGGGCAACTACAAGTCAACTCGACCAGTTTTTACATGGTCCGTTTGGTAGGACCTGTCGTTCGCTCCCCTCCTCTCTCTCACCGAGACTCAGTGACCGAGTCTGCAAATTGCATAGCCATCATCTCTCTCCTCTTCTCTCACTCTCCCTCCCTCCCCTCTGTGTCAAGAAATGGACATCGAGAAACCCGTTAAAACCCACCTCAGGATATGAATATCTTTTCATTCCTTTATTCTGTTCTCATTTCCCCCCAGCAAAATCCCCTTTCCTGAGAAACTATTAAATATCACTCCCTTCTTCTTCCCCATAACCACTAACAAGTTCTAGCTGTGCCACTTTCAAACTCATTCTTATTGTTCTCTCTCTCTCTCTCTCTCTCTCTCTCTCTCTCAAGCACACACAGACACGCACACTCTCATCTCTTGAAAGATGGATAAACCACGCCGCCACAAGCAAGCCAGGACCAGCAGTTGTTGCTCCGACGGTGAGTTCTCTTTCATTTATTCTTTTCTCGGTCTCTTTCCTTTTTATCTGTTCATATCTCCGCCTTATTTTATTCCTGCCATTGTCACTTTTTCTTTGCTCTTCATCTTTTTCTTCGTGTCTTCTTTGGTGCTTCAAATTTCTGTGTAATTATTCTGTGCTCTTTCTGTTCGGATTTATGCATAAATGTTTGAAGGCTCGGATTATAATCTTTTTTTTTTTTCTTGTCAATGTTTTGGCAGAGGTAAGCAGCATTGAGTGGGAGTTCATAAACATGTCAGAGCAAGAAGAAGACCTTATTTACAGAATGTACAAGCTCGTTGGTGACAGGTAAAAAGCACAGCTGGAGCTTGAATTTGCTTTCTTTCTTCATCTCTTTTGTGTAGTTTCACGAAACTAGTGCTTAAATAACAGCCATTTCATTTCTTTACTTCCATTATTAGAGTAGCTTTAAAGCAAAGCAATGTGGTTTTCTGTTTTTTAGTGAAGACTTTAGGACAAAGTAAAGTCAGGCCCACCTGATAAGCCACATTGTATATTGGCAAGAGTCTTGTGGCAAAAGGCTGTTCCGCAGTCTCTTTCAACATGTCAAGGACCTAGAAGCGAAATATTGAACGCCTATTAGAACACAAGCCTAAGTATATGATTTTTCAGGTCACCGCTTCAGACATAGACCGCCCATCAATCTCTGGAGACTATAATTGCCAATTATTCGGTCATTTAACTTCAGTGCAGAGTTAGTTTATGGCTAAGTAGACCATGTTTGTCTTTTTAGTTGCTTATTACATGGGAATAAAAGAAATGGCAATGTACTTCTCAGGTGGGCGTTGATTGCGGGCCGGATTCCGGGTCGGAAAGCAGAGGAAATTGAGAGATTTTGGATCATGAGACATGGAGAGGTGTTTGCTGAGAAGAGGAGACAGCTGAGAAGACACAAGTCCTGATGTTAAATGCCAAATTCCTTTTAAAATATCAGCTTTCTAGATTTTTTTCTCCCTGCTCGATCCTCTGTTATTCATTTTTTGGGGCGTGCTAAATCCGTAACTTCTCTCCTTTTTCTAGGATTAGATCGGATTAAATTAGATTAGATTAGATTAGATTAGATTAGATATGCAAAATGTCACAACGTTTTTGGGGGTTGGATGAAACTAAAAGTACCTATAGCTGTGACATACCCATTTGGCTTAATTATTAATGAGACGGAACATTTGGGCTCTCGAAACTATACAAATTTGCACTCTCAGAAGAGGACAGGAGTAAGGACAAAATCCATCCCAAAGAAACAAAGATTCTGGGCTTTTCGGTTATTTAATGTGCTTCTCAGTTGGTATGTGGTCCACCAGTTAAAGCTTTATAATTCTGGATGGGTCGAACGGTCACTTTCTTTCATCATTCACAAAGGAAGAACTGGAGGAAAAAGAAATGGTTCTGGTTAAATTCAAGATGTTCTGCTTTCTTCTGCAATGCCTCTAACCACATGAAACATCTGCTGCTAGACTAGGGGTGTCAAAAGAACCCAGTCAAACCCGACCCGACCCAACCCGAACAGAAAATTTTCGTTTTGGGTCGGATTGGGTCTCATCTTGTTTGGGTAACAGTAAAAATAAGACCTTAGCTTGTTTTGGATCTACCCGAGCCCGCCCGAAACAAGCCCACCCAAAACAAATAAGAACCATTTGTTCTTCTTACACCCAAGCCCACCCGAAACCCTATTTTCTTCTTCCATCGCGACAAGAGCTTCGGATCTGCAAGCGCCTAACCTCCGGTTGCGCAAGGGTGCAGTCACACTCTCAAGCACCTGACCTTCGGTCGCACAACCCAGACTAGGGGTGTCAATGGGTTGGGTCGGGTTTTCATGATACCCGACCTGACCCGACCCGACCCAAAAAACTGAATATTTATGCTTGGCTCGACCCGAAACAAGACCTGAACAAGACATAGCCGCACGATCGGGTCAGGTCAGGTCGGGTCGATTCCAGTTCAGTCAGGTCGTGTTTCAGATTTTTATTTTAAATTAAGGTTAAGTTACACATGTTTCCCACAATCGCATAGGAGTTTCACACCTCCAAAGACCTTGAAGATTCATAATGCGGCGTACCTCAAGGGTTTTCTAATTTTAGTGATTTAATTTATGTTGTCTTGCCAATTGTCATTCATTTTCTTTTCCTTTTTCGCACTTGAAGCAGAAAGAACTTATACTTCTGGTCGATGGAAGAACAGTTGAGACAAAACCAAATCATTCCAAAGAGTGTAGCCAAGTCTTCAGACAATTTGAACAGCTAAGCTAGTGGGTATATTTCTTCCCGTGCTTTTCATACATTGAGACAAAACCAACTCAAAAGAGCATGTCAAAAGTGAAATCGTGAATTCTGGGGAATGCATTGCAGTCCAACTCTGACATGAACGACAAGCGCATCTTCATGTTTTCCGATCAAAGAAACTAGAAGAAACATATGAAACACCTATATGCACGAGCGTACGCAAAAGGAAGTTGAGCTCGCCGCTAGAACCAGGATAATATCAATATGAAACACTTGCATTCACGATCCATGTGAAGCTCGGGGCGCTTTTAGCAATTGCTTCATTTGGTTTTTATCATATTAATCTTCGATAGATGCTTAAAACACATGAGAGAATCAGAGACAAAAATTGGATTGCATTTAACCGGCAAGAGCAGTAAGCCCATATGAAACGACTACAATAGTACAATATCTGAATTATGAGCTAAATGAAGACCCATGGTGGTCCAACAAATAAGCAAATGTGTCATCCACAAATGCAAAATGACCTATCCAGTCAAATGTCAAAAGTCTTTAATGTTAAAGGAAGATTGTTGGACAACAAATGCACGAGTAGAGGTTCATGGCTAAGTTTCTCTTTTACCCACAAGAGTCAGCACATCTAAACAACTAAAATAGAAGTGCATTCCATTTAGAAACCAATACTGATAGAACTAGCATGACCTATTGACCTTCAAACTCCAACTCCAGGATAGGAACCTATTGACCTTCGAATTCAGTTTAGTGACCCCATCTCATCTCATCCCCTCAACGAGACAAAAGTGGATCAAATCTACTCCAAAGCAAACCAAACCAAAGCAACTAAAATTTAAACAAACCAAAGCAACTCCACCAAAGCAGCTCCAATGTTATACAACCTTGTCTACATGCATAGTGGGACCAATTCACAAACTAGGGCAATGATAAAAAAAGTAAAGCTGGTGATAATAACCCCACATCCGAGATTTGAAAAGAAAGAAAATCATTCTTCAGTAAAGTCAACCTGCAAGTAAGAAATGAAGAAGACAACAATTACTAAATGCCTAATCTGAATATGAAAAAGTAAATTTGCAATAAAAATTTAAAAAAATTTGGTTTAACAAGTACCAATTTCCAACTTTGTCAATTATCAAGAGAAACCGATATCAAGTTCGGCTCCATAATTGTAGTTGAACACTCTTCATTAAATTCACAATCAAAATGAGAACTTAAGTATCCATTGTAATATAGAAAATAATAAATATTCCACAATTATGTTTTCTGACCTGACTCAAAATTTTCTTGTTCTTGTAAGTCATCCTCAATTGAAAGTGAAAGTGGCGAGGATCGTAGCTAATCTTGAGCACATATAAGATCCTCCACCATGCTTGGGGTCAAGGAGCTACGAAAGACATCGAGTACACGACCTCCTATGCTGAATGCGGCCTCTGATGCTACAGTCGAGACAGGCACGGCCAAAATATCTCGAGCGATGGAAGATAGGATAGGATATCTCGAAGAATTAACTTTCCACAAAGTTAAGATATCAAAGTCGGGGCTATAACGTTCACATCCTTCCTCCAAATATTTATTCAATTCAGATTTTTCTTTCAAAATTTGTTGTCCTGTTTGGCTAAGATACTTTGCAGTCATAAAGTCCGCACCAACCACGGGGGACTTTGACACATTTACTGTCCTTGTACCCTTTAATCTCAAGTTGCTTTGGGGGCATTTACCGGTGCGGTATTGCTCATACAATGATGTCAGCGATGATGTTACTTTATCATATAAAATTTCTGCTTGTTTGCTTTCATAAACATCATTAATCAACCATTTCACATATTCCCACTTATATCGAGGGTCAAGTATGCAAGCAATGAACAAATTAAGATTGATGTGGTTCCCATTGCCATAATACTTATTGAATTTGATCTTCATTCTTTTAGCCGTTTCCTGCAAACTTTTATCCTCATTCTCACAATATTCATTAATCATCCCAAAAAGCCCATAGACATCCTTTGCCAAATTATTACTAGTAACATAAGAAGAACCCGAAACTTTTGAAGTCGTATCAAAGAACAACTTCAGGAAAGGAAGAAGGTGACGGCATAATCTCAATCATCACTTAGTAGGCAACCCTTTCGCCTTGGACAGTTCTTCAACAAATTTGGTATCTTGAATTTCCAATGAGAAAAAAGTTTTTCGAAACTTCAAAGCCGCCTTCAACATCATATATGTCGAGTTCCAACGAGTCTCCACATATAAGACTCTTGAACTCAATATTCTCTAGTTCAACACAATCCTTAAGCCGCCTCAACCTCCCAGGAGAAGACCTCACATAACATACGGCCGAACATATTCTAACAATGGAATCATTTATGTCTTTTAACCCCTCTCTCACAATCAAACTCAATATATGAGCAAAACACCTCATATGGAGTAACTCACCTCTCAATATCAAAAAGCTCCAAGAGTTAAGTCTTCTTTTCAAGTATTGAATTCCTAAATCATTTGAACTTTCATTATCCACGGTGATGGAAAAAATACTTTGAATCCCCCAACCAGTCAAACATTTCTCAACCGCCTTTCCTATTATCTCGGTAGAATGACCCGGGATTTGGCAAAAACTTAGGATTTTCTTCTGCAACTTCCAATCAGCATCAACAAAATGAGCAGTGAGAAACATATAAGTCAAATTTTGACAAGAGGTCCATGTGTCGGTCGTCAAACAAACTCTAGGACATGTGTCGGCAAAATATTTCATCAATTTTCTTCTTTCCTCCACGTATGACGCATAACAATCACTCCTCAACATGTTACGCGTAGGGATTGAGAACTTTGGCTGGATTCTATACACAAATCGCCGAAAATCCTCATTTTCTACAAACTTAAAGGGCAATTCACCGAGAATGAACATGGTCGCTAGTTCTTTTCTACTAGCATCTTGGTCAAATTTCCATGGACCAAATGAACTACCAACCCCAACAGGTTGACCCGAGGCATTTTTTTGCCTTTTCTCGATGTTTGCATATGGATATTTCTTACATCTATCTAAATAATGATGCATTGAACTAGTCTCTTGAGTACTAGAACAACCAATGTGGACCCCGCAATATAAACATTCAGCCTTTTCTTGTTTCTTGTTTGTACATGAAATCCTTTTAAAGTGATCCCACATAATGGATCTCTTCCTTTTATTTGTGAGGCTAGAATCCGTCGACGAATGCATCTAGCAAGCAGCAAAAGTGATTAACATTCCAGACTAAGCAAAAATCATCATTGCCCAATAATCGTTATATGCTATTTACAAAACTGATTAACATTGCAGAATCAACAATGCATAGAAGAGGCCCATTGACTACAGACCTAGATCAATGCTAAGACGACAGAAATGGTGGTTCTTGGACACTGAAATGAGTACAAAAGTTTGACCAAATTACTCAAATGTCGTGATAAAACTCCTTCGGCCACTAGCTGCAGATGAAGATAGCATGCCCACCAATCAAATTCGTCAAATCTACAAAAGAAATAAAATATAGAACCTGGCCTACCCACCTAACCACAATGCGAAGTTCATGTTTTCCATATTTTTGTCGGATTATTTAGATGCGAAAATAAATATCCAAAGAGAATGTCTTCCATTCTAGAAAAGCTGTATAATCGCACATAACACACAAAGAGCACACCTCGAACTCTTTCCCTTTTCGAGACTCAAGCTCGAGGGAGGAGACGTCGCAGCGAGCTTGGATCGAGAGGTTGAAGGGCAAGACCTCGAACTACTTGCAGATCCGGAACTCTTGGCGAGCTTCGCAAAGGAGTTGGAGGAAGAGATGGTTCCGCGGGTGATCTGGGTTAGGGGTGTCAAAAGAACCCGATCAAACACGACCCGACCCGAACAGGAAATTTTCGTATTAGGTCGGGTTGGGCATCATCTTGTTTGGGTAACAGTAAAAACAAGGCCTTAGCTTGTTTTGGATCTACCCGAGCCCACCCGAAACAAATAAGAACCGTTTGTTCTTCTTGCACCCGAGCCCACCCGAAACCCTATCTCCTTCTTCCATCATGACAAGAGCTCCGGATCTGCAAGAGCCCGACCTTCGATCGCGCAACAGTGCAGTTACACTCTCAAGCACCTGACCTCCGGTCGCACAACTCAGACCACCCGCAGAACCATCTCTTCCTCCAACTCCTTTGCAAAGCTCGCCAAGAGCTCCGGATCTGCAAGCAGTTCAAGGTTTTGCCCTTCAACCTCTTGACCCAAGCTCGCTGCGACGTCTCCATCCTCGAGCCCGAGCCTCGAAAAGGGAAAGAGTTCGAGGTGTGTTTTCTGTGTGTTATGTGCGATTATACAGCTTTTCTAGAATGGAAGACATTCTCTTTGGATGTTTATTTTCGCATCTAAATAATCCGATAAAAATATGGAAAAGCATTGTGGTTAGGTGGGTAGGCCAGGTTCTATATCTTATTTCTTTTGTAGATTTGACGAATTTGATTGGTGGACATGATATCTTCATCTGCAGCTAGTGGCCGATGGAGTTTTATCACGACATTCGAGTAATCTGGTCAAATTTTTGTACTCATTTCAGTGTCCAAGAACCATCATTTCTGTCGTCTTAGCATTGATCTAGGTCTGTAGTCTATGGGCCTCTTTTATGCATTGTTGATTCTGGAATGTTAATCAGTTTTGTAGATAACATATAGCGATTATTGGGCAATGATGGTTTTTGTTGATCTTGGAATGTTAATCACTTTTGCTGCTTGCTAGATGTTTTTGTCAACGGATTCTAGCCTCACAAATAGAAGGGAGAGATCCATTATGTGGGATCACTTTAAAAGGATTCCATGTACAAACAAGAAACAAGAAAAGCATGAATGTTTATATTGCGGGGTCCACAATGGTTGTTCTAGTACACAATGGACTAGTTCAATGTATTATCATTTAGATAGATGTAAGGAATATCCATATGCAAACATCGAGAAAAGGCAAAAAAATGCCTTGGGTCAACCTGTTGGGGTTGGTAGTTCATTTGGTCCATGGAAATTTGACCAAGATGCTAGAAGAAAAGAACTAGCAACCATGTTCATTCTCAGTGAATTGCCCTTTAAGTTTGTAGAAAATGAGGATTTTCAGCGATTTGTGTATAGAATCCGGCCAAAGTTCTCAATCCCTACGCGTAACACGTTGAGGAGTGATTGTTATGCGTCATACGTGGAGGAAAGAAAAAAATTGATGAAATATGTTACCGACATGTCCTAGAGTTTGTTTGACGACCGACACATGGACATCTTGTCAAAATTTGACTTAGATATCTCTCACTGCTCATTTTGTTGATGCTAATTGGAAGTTGCAGAAGAAAATCCTAAGTTTTTGTCAAATCCCGGGTCATTCTACCGAGATAATAGGAAAGGCGGTTAAGAAATATTTGACTGGTTGGGGGATTCAAAGTATTTTTTCCATCACCGTGGATAATGCAAGTTCAAATGATTTAGGAGGTGTTAAAAGACATAAATGATTCCATTGTTAGAATACGTTCAGCTGTACGTTATGTGAGGTCTTCTCTTGGGAGGTTGAGGCGGTTTAAGGATTGTGTTGAACTAGAGAATATTGAGTTCAAGAGTCTTGTATTTGGAGACTCGTTGGAACTCGACATATATGATGTTGAAGGCGGCTTTGAAGTTTCAAAAAGCTTTTTTCTCATTGGAAATTCAAGATAGCAAATTTATTGAAGAACTGTCCATGGCGAAAGGGTTGCCTACTAGTGATGATTGGGATTATGCCCGTCACCTTCTTTCTTTCCTGAAGTTGTTCTTTGATATGACTTTAAAAGTTTTGGGTTCTTCTTATGTCACTAGTAATGATTTGGGAAAGGATGTCTATGGGATTTTTGGGATGATTAATGAATATTGTGAGAATGAGGATAAAAGGTTGCAGGAAACGGCTAAAAGAATGAAGACCAAATTCAATAAGTATTATGGCAATGTGAACTACATCAATCTTAATTTGTTCATTGCTTGCATACTTAACCCTCGACATAAGTGGAAATATGTGAAATGGTTGATTAATGATATTTATGAAATCAAGCAAACAGAAATTATACATGATAAAGTAACATCATCGATGACATCATTGTACGAGCAATGCCGCATCGGTAAATGCCCCCAAAGCAACTTGAGATTAAAGGGTACAAGGACAGTAATGTGTCAAAGTCCCCCGTGATTGGTGCGGACTTTATGACTGCAAAGTATCTTAGCCAAATGAGACAACAAATTTTGGAAGAAAAATTTGAATTGGATAAATATTTAGAGGAAGGATGTGAAAGTTATAACCCCAACTTTGATATCTTAACTTGGTGGAAAGTTAATTCTTCGAGATATTCTATCCTCTCTTCCATCGCTCGAGATATTTTGGCCGTGCCCATCTCGACTGTAGCATCAGAGGCCGCATTCAGCACAAGAGGTCATATACTCGATGTCTTTCGTAGCGCCTTGACCCCAAGCATGGTGGAGGGTCTTATATGTGCTCAAGATTGGCTACGATCCTCGCCACTTTCACTTTCAATTGAGGATGACTTTGAAGAACAAGAAAATTTTGAGTCAGGTCAGAAAACATAATTGTGGAATATTTATTATTTTCTATATTACAATGGATACTTAAGGTCTCATTTTGATTGTGAATTTAATGAAGAATGTTCAACTACAATTATGGAGCCGAACTCGATATCGGTTTCTCTTGATGATTGACGAAGTTGGAAATTGGTACTTGTTAAACCAATTTTTTTTTAATTTTTATTGCAAATTTACTTTTTCATATTCAGATTAGGCATTTAGTAATTGTTGTATTCTTCATTTCTTACTTGCAAGTTGACCTTACTAAAGAATGATTTTCTTTCTTTCCAAATCTCGGATGTGGGGTTATTATCACCTGCTTTATTTTTTTTTATCATTGCCCTAGTTTGTGAATTGGTCCCACTATGCATGTAGACAAGATTGTATAACATTGGAGCTGCTTTGGTAGAGTTGCCTTGGTGGAGTTGCTTTGGTTTGTTTAAATTTTAGTTGCTTTGGTTTGGTTTGCTTTGGAGTAGAGTTGATCCACTTTTGTCTTGTTGAGGATATGAGATGAGATGGGGTCACTAAAATGAATTCGAAGGTCAATAGGTTCCTATACTGGAGTTGGGGTTTGAAGGTCAATAGGGTCATGCTAGTTCTATCAGTATTGGTTTCTAAATGGAATGTACTTCTATTTTAGTTGTTTAGATGTGCTGACTCTTGTGGGTGAAAGAGAAACTTAGCCATGAACATCTACTCATGCATTTGTTGTCCAACAATCTTCCTTTAACATTAAAGACTTTTGACATTTAACTGGATGGGTATTTTTGCATCTGTGGATGACACATTTGCTTATTTGCTAGACCACCATGGGTCTTCATTTAGCTCATAATTCAGATATTGCACTATTGTAGCTGTTTCATATGGGCTTATTGCTCTTGCCGGGTGAATGCGATCCAATTTTTGTCTTTGATTCTCTCATGTGTTTTAAGCATCTATCGAAGGTTAATATGATAAAAATCAAATGAAGCAATTGCTAAAAGCGCCCCGAGCTTCACATGGATCGTGAATGCAGGTGTTTCATATTGATATTATCCTCGTTCTAGCGGCGAGCTCAGCTTCCTTTTGCATACACACGTGCATACAGGTGTTTCATATGTTTCTTCTAGTTTCTTTGAACAGAAAATATGAAGATTGCTAGCTAGTTTCTCGCGCCTATCGTTCATATCAGAGTTGGACTGCAATGCATTCCCCAGAATTCACGATTTCACTTTTGACATGCTCTTTTGAGTCGGTTTTGTCTCAATGTATGAAAGCACTGAAAAAAATATACCCACTAGCTTAGCTGTTCAAATTGAGGTACGCTGCATTATGAATCTTCGAGGTCTTCGGAGGTGTGGGACTCCTAAACGATTGTGGGAAACATGTGTAACTTAACCTTAATTTAAAATAAAAACTCGAAACACGACCCTACTCGAACCCAACCCGACCCGATCGTGCGACTATATCATGTTTGGGTCTTGTTTCGGATCGGGCCAAGCATACATATTCAGTTTTTTGGGTCAGGTCGGGTATCATGAAGACCCTACCCGACCCGACCCATTGACACCCCTACGCTAGACTGCTACAGCATAGTAATACAGTCATTTTGCAATTACATAGATACATCCTAATAAGATGGAGTTTTTTCCCCGGTTCCATAGTCATCCCTCGAGTTTTTTTTCAATGTAATCTCTTTAATCTGGACTCCTGAGATTGCATCTTGAGCCTGTCACCAATTAACATGGCAAATTAAATTGATCATCAATATACAGTCGAGGCAAATAGTAAAAGTTCGGCAATAGTACGCCGTGAATTTTTTTTTTCTTCTCCCAGTTTATAACTTGGTTAGCATAACTCAATCTTTCCATTCTCTAAAATCATGGGTTGGAGTTGGGACATTGAAGTTGGTAACTTGTCAGGGATATTTCAGTGATTTTGGAGAGTGATCTTTTTCTTTCTGAAATGGTAGATAGGTTATTTGTCGAAAAGAGCACAGTTGATGATGTTATATATGTCAGATCTGCAAACGCCCAAAAGGACCCAACAAGTCCCTCCAACATATTTTTCTATTGGGATTAGGCGTACAAACACAACTAAATAGAGAGTAAAAGCGAGAAAGAAAAATCGAGACACGAGGTTTTATTATAATACACTAGTTTAAGGGATACATCCAGCAAAAAATTCTACTATAATAGCATTTATCATTTCTATGTTACAACTCTCAATTGCAAGATAAATAGATTATATAAATATAGCCGACATAGTAGTTATTTATGGACCCAAACCCAAACTATCAATAAAATACGAGCTAAAACTATAAAAGCCCTCTGACGGCTTGGGGATGCTGCCCCCGCGGCCCCCACCAGGGCAGCCCCTACAACCTCCGCCCGCTCACCGAGGAGCGAGACTTCCATGCCTTCCTATTGATGAGGAGTATGAACTACACCTCAATAGTCTCAAATGTCTCACACAAGGCTGTCTCTTACCAAAGGAATGTGTTTGGTCGAAAATGTATTCATCCAACTCAACTATGCACAATTCGAGCCCCTTTTACTATTGAATGTCGTGTTAAGAACTGTACACAGGCGATTTTCGCATCCGTGATCAGACTCCGTTACCGATGCGTACCTTAAATTGCTTTGCATCTGATTTAATGTTGTTTACAGAAGTAACAACCCGTCAAACAGGGCAAAGTTGGTCAAAATGGCATTGGATTTGAGGCCTCAACTGGGATCCTTTTGTATCAGTTGCCGATGGATCATATATATGTCTTTAGCTTACCGTAAAGTCTTCAATGGTTCCTGGCTTTTACGTGGTACAAACATGTCAGATTCCGCTCAAACGCAATGCCAGCGATAAGTCCACAATGTTAGCATATTCGATGATGGCACATGTTATGAACAACTATTTAAATAAGTGGGTCATGCTCAACACTCGATAAAAGCACCTTATATCACTTAGCATATCGATTTTCTAGATCACGTTTCTCTTCAATCAAATAACCCGAAAACTCAAGAAGATTGTACAAACTAGATTATGATTTACTCCGTTGCAAATTGAAACCAAATCGACTTTCTGACAAGTGATAACCCATATTACTTTCTCATACCCCGATTTGGCGATTAACGAGACCTTCTCTCTTGCGCGCCTACTTCCGGCAACAACGACGATGGCCGATCTATTCGGGCCCACAGGCGAGGAGCTATATTAATCAAGGTGTCTCGAGCCTTCCGACTCGGGAGGAAGCAAAAGAGGTGTTGAGTGTCGACCACCTAAGCGCCCTATCCGTCATCTCCCCGATAACGCTTCAGGGAATTTCTTGCCTGGATCTAAGTCCATCTCGATCGTGGATCATATGAGCTCGGACAACACGGGATCCGCCGGAGACCCACATAATCAAAGATGGGTGACAAAGACCAGTTCATGAGATCAAGGCCCAATCAAGCGAAAAGGCCCAACCAAAGGACATACGAGACTTTGTTGATACCCAACATCACATCCCCGTCATTTGCAGAGTCAGAAGCTGGTAAACAGTGCCTGCAAATCGATCGAGAGAGATCGAGAGAGAGGGAGGAGGAGGAGGAGGAAGATGATACACCGCAAGTGGAGTCTCATGACTGGTCCCGTCGCCATGCTCGGTGGCGTCGTGGCCGCCGTCGTCGTCGCCAACTACATCTTCCTAGGCGTAATCATCTCTCTCTCTCCGTTTTTTGTTCGTTTTCATAGCCTCCATCGTTCGTTCGTCGCCTCCCGCCCGATTCTCTGTCTTATCGCTTTCAATTCATGAGCTCTATGCGGGGGCTGGCGATGTTGGATCTGGTTATTGCGGGATGGCGATTGGGTGGTGGGGGGGAGGAAATAGATTATTAAACTTTGAATGCCTGCAGTGACGAAATCCTTGCGAGTCGCATGAAATTGGGTTTGACTTTAAGCGCGAGTGGACAGCAAGTGGATGATATGTTTGTAACTGAATTCAGATGAATGATTTTGCGTGTCTTACGTCTGGTGCTTACTCGTTGTTCAATACTATATAAATAGTTTACTGGGAGTCTGTTTTGGTTTCAAAGCTTCAAGCTTGATTATACTGGATTGAAATTACTGGAAATGTACTTGTGAAGCTATGAGTAGCCTGGGAATTCAGTAATGGGAACATTTCCTAGGCTTATAAAAGGGTTTCCTAATATGTTGGTTGCGTGGTGGTTTTAGAATCCTACACTTGTTTCATGTCACAGGTTTGCCATTTCTTGGCATAAGTAGCTGTCCCTTATTGGTTTCGATCTAGTGGAAGAGGAGGGCCACTAGGACTTATGCTCGAATGAAAGGGATGGTAGGGAGAGAGATGAACTTGTAGGATGGAACTGAAAGACCTACTTCTGTTGGGATATTCGTGAGAATCCAGTGTTGCGAGATAGACATGGCTCAAGATGGATGTGAGGGAGATATATATAATGCGAATTTTGGATTTTCCTTTTGTCCGGTCTGGCCAGTCTTTTATTGTTTGTTCATTCCCATGGAAATAAGTTTTGCATTGTCATATTGCACAACAAATCGCATTGCTACATCTTCTGTTAAATCATTTTTGTTCTAGGATGGGAAATTCATGTACATGACCCATGTTACTTAGACTTCAGCTCTTGTCTGTTATTACAAGGCAATGCTATCTCACTTTCCAAGTCTTTAAAGCTAGAATAGGAAGTACATTGTATATGCTTGCACCGGCCTTCCACTTAAAAACTTGTTGAAAATTTGTGAAAGAGAAGTTGCGACAACCAGGCTAGGGTCCAATTAACTTCAGTCAGTTCATCAAGCAGTTTTTCCGCTGTCCCTTATATAACGTGTCTCTGGCTAAGCATGCAATCGAGTCACAAAGTCATTTTTTGTCACCTTTGTTCTTGATGTTCTTACCTGCTTTTTACATCGCTGTATCTGTAGGATCCATTCCGTAAGCCAGAGCCAAAGAAGGAGTATTCACCATCATCTACCAAGTGACCATGTTGACGTGTAAGCAATCTCCTTTTTCCCTAAGTTTTGGTCATTATCTCTGTTGGATTTTTGCTCCGACATGCCGATAACTTGGAATCTTTTATCAGAACTCAAAGTGAATGTGAGGACCATCTTTGGGCTGGGTTTTGAGCGTTCTTGAACCTTAAGATGGGAACAGCAAGTTGTATCTTGAAATATTAGTTGCGAGACCATTGTTCAACCCAATGTACCTGGCCATTCTCTTTTGTTGAATGCTGCTGTCGCATTTCCTGTTTGACTGCGAAAAATAAGTTGTTTTGAATTTGACCAGTGAACACTGTGGCTAATGCAAATGTTTCCATTAGTGGCAGAAGGTAATGAATTGTCATGCTGATGTTTCTGAAAAAGTGATTTAGAGCTTTAATGTTTGTGTTACTTGTTGGTGAACTTAAGGCCGCCTTTGGTACGATGTTAAACCGTGCTTTGCTAGTTGTGATAAAAGGAGATCTAAGCATCTTTTTTTACTATAGCAAAAACTTGACCAAATCAATAGAACAAAGGAAATACATAGAAAAGTACCTTTTTTTAAAAATACTAAATCATTAAAGCTAAATTTTAAGTGAGCATATTTATCTAAACTTTATGTAATGATTCGGTGGCATCTTTAGCATATTGATCTATATTTTTTTCTCGTAGGGGTTTTTAATTTTAATGTCGTCCATTTTTACTTTTTTAGAAGTTCACAGTATTTTTTTATTCATCAATGATTTTCTCTTGCTTGAGGTGCTGTTTCCTATTTTTCTTATCTAGAAATGCAAATTACATTTTTTATGCAAGTAGCATTTGTAATTTAAAAGGTAGCAGCACCTAACTCTATTTTGGACCTAAGTTACAATGATGTCAATGATCTACGGTGACGAGTCTCCAACCACAAGGCCTGGTCTTTCACTAAATACACTTGAACATCATTCTGCCAATGTTCCCCATAAGAGCGGGATTTCTGGGGCTAGAACTAGAACTAGTTTCACTACACAAACTGCAAAACACACACTTCCACCCCAAACGCATTACAACTCGGTTAGACCTAGTGTCACTTGGCAAATGGTTGATTCTGTCATCGCATCCGCGGCGCAAAAAGCTCGGCGATTTGCTCGCTCAACAATCTTCTTGAAGGTTGTTGTCAGAACAATCCTATATACAGCAAGGGAAGCGGGAGAATCATTTCCCTACAGGATAAGTATAGCTCTAGTGTCGCTAGATGTTATGATGTAATTTGTTGATCCGTCAATTAATGAGTTTCCTCTGGAGCACGAGAACTATTTCTAAGCAGAACTAAGTATCTTCTCCATTTACAGACGGAGTGATCTCAAAACTTGTAAACGATCTCCCACATACGAATAATTGTGTCACCAAGTGACTTGAAAAGAACTTGCAAGAAGGGCTGCCCTGCCACGGCCAAAGATAGAGTAAGTGAATGAACTCCGACAAGCGAACTGCCTTGAAGCAAGACCATCCTGTTTGCACCCTCAAAAACAATTCAAGAATTGAAGAATGTGTAAGAATTAATTATTTGTAATAGATGGAGTATTTGTAATTGATCCCTTTGCAAGCTTCATCCCAACAGATGAAAATGGGATGACAATGCTACGACATTCTCTCCGTATCCTTGTATATGGATTCCACCTCTTCCAAACATGTTATACCGCCAAAAATCATGTCAATGAAGATTTCCTTTCGAAAGGTTCACCAGCATTTCCATTACTAGATCATTCCAAGAATCAATTGGCCCCGGCAAGCACCAATGCAAGCAATCATTCTGGACCTTGGCATTTTTGTCTTGAGCAAATGGTTGGAATTGCCGATACGGACCCGGGTGTGCATCAGGCCGTAACAGTGACATCTGCGTTGTGTCAAGCAATGCCAAAGTGACCACTTTCCGGGATCCCATTTCCACAGCCTTCTCGAATTCCTCCAATTCAATGTTGCGCATAACTGTGTCCACATCCTTCAGGTCCACCTCTCCGCCTTTGAATGGAATCGTTCTATTGCAAGTCCCCCCACTAAACCATTCCCCATTCTCGAAATGATCAGGGGTGGTGGTTCTAAAGAAAACAAATGCCCGATTTTCAGAATTAGTGACAAAGTTCAAAACTAGCTGCAGAGCTTTTCTGTATGCATATTCGAAACCTAGCTCTGTCAAGTTCTTTCCAGGACAGTGGTGACATCCCATGACTGTATCTTTTTCATGGTAAATGGCAGTTTTCAGAAACCACTTGCCACCGGCAATCACCGCATAATCATAGTTCTTGTACTGCTCAGTCCATGTCTTGTCGAGTTTGTCGAGATGAAGCTGGATTTCTGATGAGGACACTCCATTTATATCTTCAAATATATCTGCTTTAACGACGAAAGGAGTCCATATGACTGCGAGAGTGAAGTTGTGAGCTGGAAAATGCCATCTTTTTGATCTGTACTCTTTGTCATGGTAGACCTCAATGGCTTCCTCAGCCTGCACAACATGATCATAATGTAAAGATGGAATAAGATTGATCTGCATCGAGGACCTACACCTCATCCAACTGCTATGGGGCCTGAGGAAAACAATTGGGGACAGCTGGATTTCTTTACGTCGCAGCTATTATAGGTCCAATTGATACTATGTGGAAGAATCTTATAAATGTGCAACCTGATTTACAAGGATGGGGTCTACCACCAGTGCTTCAGTAAAATGTCCCCCACTATATCGAGTTTCTTGTTGATACGTGCATTGGAAGTCTATCATGAAAATACCCCAATACTAAAAAGCACGCACTTACGACAACAAACCAACTTGAAGGATATGGTTGAGTTCAGAAACATCGAATCAAACACAAAGGTCAAACCTGCGCTATTCATAAGTGATTGGAAAACCTTGTCTCCATTGGATAAGATCCACACTTACGATAATTTAAAGTAACCTTTGGGTGGCTCATTCAACTGAGTGCGTGCACTAAAAACTAAAGAACTACCGTAACCATTTGGTGGAAAAGGGGCTAAGTTTCTAGGAAGAAGTTGACAAAACAGCAAGGGCGCCGGAAAAGATGAAGAAAATCCCTCACGATTTTTGTATTTTGGTTACAACATGGAAATTTCATTAAGACCAAATTAGAACTGACAGGTCTTCCTGTTGTTATGGAAAATTACAAGAAAACATCACAAATTATTGTAGTATGAAAAGAACAAAGAATTGACTCCCTAAAACGGTGGTGGGTAAACCAGCCAGCCAGGAAAAAGACTTGGTAGCCTCTTCAAAAGCAGTAGTCCAACCAAAAAAGTTGTATCGACCACATAAAATAAGCTCTTGAAACACCAATTTGTAGGTAATGCAACATCAAGAAATTAAACCAATTCTGACATCAAGCCAAAATAATTGTGTGGCCAAAATCTGCCAGACAGTCTACCAAAATATAGCCTGCCCCAGATACAATCTGCAAGAAAGAGTCCTAGAGGAACAATGGAAAGAACTCAAGGCAATCTCCATCATGAAATTCTACGTGAATAACTCATGACCTTCCACTCACTTTCGTATTCACGAGTCGTTTGAAGCAAATAGCTCTGGTATGGCACTTACAATGAACATTTATAAGCTGTTTAAAACGAGTTTCTTTCTCCGTTGGGTTTACATTGACTGGACAAAAGCTCATGGGAAGTGACAGAACAATTGTGGCAGTAGAAATTATGAGGCTGATGCTGAGATCACGTACCTGAGAGAGGATGCAGAGAAATGACTGAACATGGTTACGAGAGATGGAATCACCTATAAACGCCCACGACTTATTCTTCATCGTGTCAAGAAATTTCTCAGGGTCAAACTTGGGCAACTCGCAGTCCCGGGGAGTCCACCTCCAATAGAGGTAACCGGAATCAGGACGTCCATTTTTCATACAATTTTGATGAGCTTCAATCGCGTGGCAACTCTCATTGGTGTAAAAGGGACCGGATGGGTCAGGTAGCCATTCTCCAACAAAGATATCACAAGTTTCTGCAAATAATTTGGGCCAAAGAGCAATTAAAAATACGACACAGCACACCATCACATTCGATCAAAGAATCAAAATATGAAGAGAAGATCAATACATGCAAAAGAAAAAAAAAGTATGATTGCTCTATGCATGTTGCATTATACATATTGGCACAGCAAAATAAAAATGTTTATGTTTTCGGGAAATTTTGAGATTTATCTTGATTGCATTCAATGACTGAGTAAGCTTCATAACAGATTGTAGTGAACCGACCTTCTATCAAAGATGAATTCTCATTTTTCTTCCCTATAAATATATAAGACCACAACTAAACTTTAATTCAAACATGATCCTATATATTATTTCCTTATTGAAGCAGTTAACAAAACAGAGGAGAGAGAGATATGCTACCATGAATAATCAGCAATGCAGTTCCAAAGTAGGAGAGTATGTAAAGCAGAGTGTCACTTAATGTAATCTAATTTTTTCCCACCAATTCATAAACTCAGGTAAGAGAAAGCCAACTTAATGTGAAAATACACAACCCCATCACAAAACATAAACGCAGGTGCCGTAAAATGAGCTCCTTGATCCAGCATTTATTTCTGAACACTTTTGGAAAAGCTCAGATTTTGCTAGCCCAGAGTGATCTAACTTGACCGCATCATTCACAGCTATTTTCGAAAACTTTGGAAGACAGACCAAATAATGCAGAAAACATATCAAGTAAAGAACTCTACAGGCAATAAAGAATTCACTTTTTTAATTGCATTCGCAATGCATTGTGTCATTCTTGCAAGCCTTGTATCACAGAACATTCAGAGTAAGAACATAGGAATCCACCTGCCGTAAAATGAGCTCCTTGATCCAGCATTTATTTCTGAACACTTTTGGAAAAGCTCAGATTTTGCTAGCCCAGAGTGATCTTACTTGACCGCATCATTCACAGCTATTTTCGAAAATTTTGGAACACAGACCAAATAAAGCAGAAAACATATCAAGTAAAGAACTCTACAGGCAATAAAGAATTCACTTTTCTAATTGCATTCGCAATGCATTTTGTCATTCTTGCAAGCCTTGTATCACAGAACATGCAGAGTAAGAACATAGGAATCCACCCACCTGTCCGATTGATCAGGGACTCATTATTGGACGTGAAAGTAGCGGAAGAATGACCATCGCCCGGCTTTTGAATAGGCAGAGAGGCAAGAGGCGATTGAGTTTCAGTTATTGATTCTGAGACGGGTGGCTCCTGAACGACTGACGACGACAACCTGATGGAATCGGAGACGAAGAGGCGAAAAGCGAGACCTATCAATAGAAATGACAGAGCGAACTTGGCAAAGACGTAATTTTGCTTGTGGAGGGATGA